TTTCGCGTTATGCTGGGAGTTTTCTGACAGGATTTGCCCATAAATTACCTCCTGTTACCATTAACCCTAGTTTTACTTCGGTTCCTCAGCCCATGTATGCAATATAGTTAGTATGACTATTGGAGGGTCTCCATGTAAACCAAACTTTCCTCTTTACTTAAAGAATACGCCCTTTCTCTCTTCAGCCACGGGAATCACCTCTTGGGTTGTAGTGTGGCTGGAGGGACGGCGTCTGAGATTGCTGCCAAAATGGGCCTTTTTACCACTTCCCAATGTTTCTCTACTGACAACTCAGCCTAGTTTGTAGACTATCCCGCATCAGACAAAAGTCTACGAATTTTTCACATAGCCGGCTTTGCAGTGGCGCAGGAAGGGTAGCGTAGCACACCATCGTAAGCGCCTACAGAGAACCAGATCAAATACTATGACGTCATGACCAATGCTACCTAGAAGGCTCTTGATTTGGGTGTTTCACACCAGTGACTAGTCACTATTTGAGATATAACGCAGTTTTGATATTTTTCCACTAGGACAAAGTGTCCTCTCTAACGTTCCCAGTTAGCCAAGAATTTCTAGTGGTACACAGCAGGCTTCGACCTTGAGCACACCCTGACTCAAATTTATGGCATAGAGCACTGAAGTCTGCAGCCATAGTGACGTGGTCATAGTCCAAGTTCCATTTCCATGAGGTGGTGCTGAGAAGCAACTGGCTCTGCTCTGCCCCAAAGGCGAATGGCCGATGGATGCTACCCAATAAATGCTTGGCGTAGGCGGTGTTGAGATGGCAACATATCAAGTGTAGGAGTTCAGTAACTGGTGGGTCCGTTGCTCATACGCATCTAAGGTCCAGATGTAGTTGAAGGTTTCTGAGTTCAGCTGTTTTTCCTGTCAGATCTACCACAGAGCTATATGGATGTCTGACAGTGAGTTTCACCGTCTCACCATGCTGTGGGATGGTTGACACAGTGTATGCTACTGGCTGAGGAGTTAATTCCAGAAACGATTAGTCGATTCCGACAAGATCTACCTGCTATAGATTCCTCACCAGGCCCAATTAAGACACACGGATGACTTTGGTTGTCATTGTCAGTGTTCCACAACTCTATTGCACTGTGGCTTGAGGATATAATCAGCTTGTGGTCCGCTGTCGGCTTTTGGAGCATAGGTTGTGTACACTGTCCTTACTTTTAGTGTTATACCACTGTTGAGCACAGTGTCCGATTGCCCTGTGGGCTGAATTTGACAGCTTGTACCTATGGTAGGCTGATGAGTGTGAGGTGAGGGGGGAGGTAGTGCACATATCGAAATTCAGAAGTGCAGTGAGATGTGTGAGATGACAGTCGTTTCCATTGCCGTCCATCATGGATGTGACTGCCACAAGCGTTGCCAATTTCCGGCTACGCGGAATGACCGTAGGTGTGAAGGGCATTAGTTCTGGTTATTGCCTCACCGTTCGCTTATCTGAGAATGGCCTATATGGCCTTATTGTCGGAGCTCCTGTCCATAGTTCTGAGCATCTCCATCAGACCCCCATGTCACCCGTATTGGAAGTGATTTACCTTGGGTTGTCTGAACACCCCTGTACAGTCTACACAGCCTTCCTTACTTTATGCCGAGCCCTAATTTGCTGAACAAATAATACCTCTGTCCCTTTTGAACCAGTCTTCCCTGTCACGATACACCAGTACGTCGGTGGCACAGTGGTGAGCACTCTCGCCGACCATGCGCATGGTCCGAGGTTCCATCCCCTGCCGGCGCACACCCGATATCTATGGTCGGCCTGCAAAATTTGGACTACCGATATCCATGCTGAAAATGCCATACTTGTACTGAAAATACGGTGTGGCATCAAGCTATAACCAAAAAAAATAAAAAAAATAAAAAAATATAAAAAATACGTTCAACGTGACGGAGCAGGTTGACTGGCTGATACTGGAATTAGATCCTAGGAAACTTGTTATTTACGCTTCCTATATGACTTAGAGCTCGCTTTCAGGTTGTCTCACTTGGAAATAACTCGCGACTGCTATGTGGCCATCCATCCTTTTAGATCGCATTTGTAGCGCCTCCGAATAACTATTCAGCCTCACTCACCTAACCTGGTGACCAGGCTACTCTTGACACCGCTCCAACAAACGAGAGTCGAATGTCTACTGTATGTGACATATCGTAGGTTTCAGCGGATCCACACACCTGATTGGTTGGTCTGGAGTATCATGTTTACGATTAATGGTCAGTTTCGGCGGTATGCTGTTTTTGTTTCCGGTAAAACAGTGTATTAGACTACGCCTAGATGACAAAGAGGGCATGTGTACCAGATCTATGGATATGAGTTATTTCGCATAAACTCATTTCACAACATTCCTTTGGCTCAACGGTGGTGCACCAACCTCTCGCAAAAGTCACGTCCGGATGCAGAGATGCTATTGTAGACAACAGTGCTGCGAATCCGTCAGTTGTCTCCCTTTTCAGAAGGTGGTTCTTCTCAGTCTTCTTGAGTTTGGCGCGTCGGCTCACTATGGAAGTGGGTCTGGTACCGTATGCATCTGGTTCAACCTGTTCAGTATCATTACTAGACAGTAGCGACTTAGTGACCCTGATAGAGCAGGGAATATTTCCTCAGATCTTAAGAACCAGTAGGCGTTAATTCCACCGGATTATTTTCCCCTAGCCGGTGCAATAATGCTCCACTTGTGGCGAGATTCAACTGCCATAATGGCGATTATTACTATTATTAAGTAACAACGAACGAGGTAGCAACTCAGCGTTTACCTAATAGAATAAGAACGAGAGGATTGAAGAAGTATCAGAAAATGATTTCCGACTTTACCTAGAGCTTTCAGACTATTCAACTTCACTGTAGCCATGCAAAGGACCAGCAAGTCCTGTTTTCCTGACCGAGTGAGGATGAAGCTTCTACAAAAGTTTTATTACACAGAGACTCAGTATGGAAGTAATAGTCAAATTAGCTTCACTTGCTGGGAGTGTCACGTCTTCCAAGCTGATAGTTCACAAAAAAGTAGAGAAGATAATGCACTTCATACACAGGACTCGCGTTCAAGGGCAAAACAGATATCCGTCTTTATGTCTGATTTCGAAAACTGGGAAAATAACTAGTTTTGGTTTTTTCTGTCTTTTATCCAAAGCTTCTGCGACCGGTTTCACTTTTTATTCTCTCGAACGCAGAATATCTTTGAACTTGTGAGGAGATTAACTATGAATATACATTGAAATTGTACTATTCTACGTACCAGTTATTTGTGTTTTATGTGGGCTGTGAGACACTCTTCGGGGTATAGTGAAACCAGCTGCTTCTTTATTTAGGGTCATCCTTTTCCTCGTTGCAAGAGCCGTCAGATTCATCTGAGCAAAGACCTACTCGTCTGCCAGAAGCAGGTAAGATCCTACCTCATCCATGAGGTGTTGGGTAGCCCTCTCATACCGTTTCACCAAATAGTTTCTATCCTTAACTTAAGCAGGTTTTCCCCACTGTCTCCACTTGATTCTCGTCTTCATGCTTTTTGCTAGTCGGGCTGTTTTAACCATGTGAATGGAAGACAAAACACTTGATGGAAAACCTCAAATACTACTCTGGAAAATAGGTTAATCTGACTGACATTCATGAGAAAGTCGAATCTAGGGGGGTGGTGACGTAGCGTCTCTGTAACACTATAGGCTTTGGTCACTCAGATCTAGTTAGTAATTGAGGAATAAGTGGAAATGAGACGGCTGGCAAAGTAAGAGCTATATCTTCTTTACCATTTCTAAGGCAAGGCTCGCAGTTTTTTAAACCAAAATCCAAGTTAAGAACCAAATCATCCGAAATAGACTTGTATTAAAACCAAAATTGTTAAAGATTCTGCAGGATTTATTGTTCTGTCCAACAGAATGCACCAAGTTATTATAGTACAAGCCTTCAATTTTGAGGTTATGCGGCATCCAAATATCATACATTATTGCGCATACACTCCTAAATACGAGATTTGGCATCATGACTCAGCTTTATGTAAACATAACAAGCAATCTGTTTCTTAAAAGCATAACTTATTCTGTTAACTTTAACACTAATCAGTATGCGGGGACCCTGGCTTAAACTGCATAACTTGTTTCACTGCCCTGCAGCAGTTGAGCCTTTCATCGTAGTTGGTGTGCCTGTCCCTTTCAGGTGCCTAATTTTAGCTATCTCGAATACTCTTCAGGATTGTCCTTTTCAGGTAATACGTTTTGTGACCGTATTACAAGCTTTGAGGTTTGTGGTTATTCCTTGACCAAACACAAAAGGCATTAAGACTTTACAAAATGGCTAGTAGTTCGGATTGTTTCGCTCAAAAAAGAATTAATTTTACTGCATTCACTGAGAAGGCTTTGGATGCTGTCGGAACTCTTATGGTTTTTTGAAAATGATAGGATAGTTTACATGGTAAACGAAGGGCAATATTTGGGACGCTGTCGAACTCTTAGAAATGTGTCCAGAATTAAACTTCTCATAGCAAATGTAAAAGTAGTTGAATGCGGTCGACGGGTAGGAAGAAATTAATGAGTATACGATAATGCCTAGTCAAGAAATCGGAATTTGTGTGACTGAGATTCGCACTGGTTGTTGTACTTTTGAACATTTCCTATACTTTATACGAATAAAAAATAATGAGAAGCTCTACCTTTGAGGATGATATTATAACAGTGGTCCCATAAAGTATTTCCTTTCATTGATTGACTTAAAAGCACCATATACATTTCGGATGCAAACCGCTTCTTCAGTAAAGCTTTTTTTCTAGTCAGCGACTTGTCAAATCCTACTAAGCGTAATAAAGTTTGAAATTTGGACCACTTAAATGTTCACTAAATTAGCAGCAACTACTTTCGTCACATTATGATATTTTGGGGTTGTCATTAATAAGATATTTGAATTTAAATTCTGGAGATTCACAAGACGATGAGTAGCGCAAGTAAATTTATTTATGCTCAGATGAATGTGAAATTTGTTTAGGTACATGATTTTTACTAGCATCTGGTTAAGCGCTCGTTCGAACGGAATCCAACGTGTAGTTTCAAACTTCTAAATATAAAAACTTAGATATGCCTATGAGACTGGATATAAAGAGAAAGCTTTTGTCTAGGTCTGACCGAGTGAAGTCAGTGGATCTGCATCCAACCGAACCATGGATATGTGCTGCACTGTACAATGGAAATGTTCATATTTGGAACATCGAAGCCCAACAATTGATAAAGACCATAGAAGTTTGTACAAGCCCTGTGCGTGCTGTGAAATTTGTGGCACGTAAGAACTGGATTGTCACAGGCTCTGATGACATGCAGGTAAGCTGGAAAGGAGGCATTTCCAACGTGTATTTAATTCCATAGCATACTACTGATTTCGATATCTTTTGTTTTTTCGATACTTACGTAGTTTATTTAGTTTATAGGGAATTAGAATTCACAATATATTCGATAGAAATAAGTCTTATTGTTTTTGTATGATACCTGTAGTTCTAGAACATCATCTCCGAAAATAAGATTTAGCTATCCTAGTGCCAATAATTTAATTTAAGAGGGATTAAATATTAGTTATTTGGGGATTTAATTGGTTTTTACACAGAAACGGTAACATACAGACAACCAGAGGACTATGGAAAGCAATATGACAGTTCCAGCAACACCTAATCACGACCTCAAGTGTGGTGCGACTCGCAACCAGCGCCTGAATGTTGGTGTTAGCAAAGGTTTTTCAGTGTTGAGGTCCACCAGGTTTGGATGTAAAGCCGGGGAATAACTAATTCTTTGCCATATTGGTAGGTGGAAAGCACTAGAAACTGAACTACAGCTAAAACACAATACGTATTCTCGTAACTCGAGTGTTGCAAGAGCGATCTCTCAACACACATGGCCTTCCTTAGAGTCCTGATCCGAGTCTACTCAAAGTCAGATGTCCGGTAAATTTTTACAGGTATTTTTTCCATTATGGATAAGATTTTATTGCACGAAACGTCATCAGTTAATATTGCTATGCAACACTGATTCATCGAAATAAAATCTTATCCATAATGGAGTTATAATCTACTACAATGCCCAAGTTTTATACTTATATCGATAACTAATAGGTTGCATAAGAATTTGGTGGAATAGGGTCCGAACGCGTGACTAACTTTATTAGTCGAGCTACATCTCCACAACCATTTATGTAGTATCTTGTTGATAGCAGTTGAAAGCAGCTTTAGATTATTGTACTTCAATTTTCCTTTGTCTTGTTCACTTATGGCACTCAAATTAAATGCAGAAGATGGACAGATAGTTAGGCGAATGGAGAATACAAGTACCTTTTTGGAGGAGAAAAATGAGAAATAAGTACATTTCGGAAAGTTAACAATTTGTATCTTTTGTTATCGACTTTTAACTTCTTGTGATTCATGTAAAATATAGTAGTTTATAATGTTTAGTAATAAAAGTATAAAATCATATTTTCTGAGTCAAACAATGATTCCTAGCGTAAGCATATTTTAGGAGTTCAAATGTATTTTAATGGACTCTAATTACTTGATGTTTTTGGTAAAAGCTGTCACTTTTTTAGAGTTTTAAGGGTATTGAGAATTGCTACTGGGACATAAAGTCACGTTTATTTACATTATATAGCTGCGTAGTCATATTCTTTTGTGTTGAAATCTGTAAGTTGGATTCATGTTGAAGTCATTTGCGCTTTTATTAAAAGTTCTTGGGATGCAAAGCTGCTGTTCTTTGATCATAGGTTCCTGCGTTCCATCTCCCGTGTGAAGTGGTATAATAGGATGAGGAACATTGAGGTTAGGCGTCGAGTGCTTGGTAAGGAGGGGAAATCAATCGACTAGGCTGTGAAGCTACATTGACTGAGATGGTTAGGGAATGTGTTACGCATGCCTGACCATCGCCTTCCTCAACAAAGGTCAATGTTAGCTGTCAGGTTGGGGAAGAGCTAGTGGCTGGTGGTCAAACCAAAACATGGCTTGACCAGTCAAGGAAATCCACAAGTTAATTTAAGCCAGCTAGCCACGTAGGAAGGTGTAGACCTCCTGGTTGGGGTCCTCGGGATGATAAAAACCAACGACTGGAGATAATCGGTGATATGACTCAAAATCGTTCTCAATGACTGGCGCAGATGCACCCACTCCTTGTGACTTATGAATTCCAATGAAACTTTTGTTCTTCGTTATTACTATTCTTTTTATCTCAAATCCCTACCTACTGTCTTTATTTTGCATTTCTTTTTACTTTCTTCTCTTGCTTTGTGTGCTACAAGGAGGGAGTGTGGCAACTCGAACTGCTGCACATCGGTGCAAAGTCCTATGTTGAAACCAACCAGCCAAAGTTGTCGTTCGCCAAGTGCTTTTATGTGTGTTCTATTGCTGAACACATTACTTATATTAACATTCCCAGCATGTCTAAATAGGTGTGAAAAATGGTTCTGCCCTGCCTGTTAGTCAAAACTGAATTTTAATAATCGAACTTAGATATTCTTATCATGCATCCTATGCAACTAATTTCCCGATTTCGATTTTACGTTAATTCATGACTTAACTGTTACAATTATTTATTGCTATATCAGGCATAAATTTTTTAGTTTTCTGAAAACTAATAAACTTGTAGTTTATTTAGCTTTTAGAGATTCGTCTAACAATTATCTCTTCACCTTCTCTGCTTTTTCCTTTTATAGTTACGTGTATTCAATTATAATACCCTTGAAAGAATTCAACAATTTGAAGCACATTCAGATTATATACGATCGATTGCTGTACATCCTACACAACCGTTTATTCTCACTTGCTCAGATGATATGCTTATACGTCTGTGGGATTGGGAAAATAACTGGACGTGTGCACAGGTATGTTTAACTTTCATGTAAATGCTTCATAAGCAGATAATGTCTGTTTTTATGGGATTTATGTAGCTTTACGTATACATCGGATGATAAACAGTAAGGAATGTATCAACAACACATGGTGTTATTGTAAAGCTGTATGTTTTCTTTGGATACTGAAAGCTTTCATTACTCTCAAGTCTGTGTGGAGGTCAACAGCACTCAGTATGAAACATAAGATCCGGATTTTTAACTCCAATGTGAAATCAGTGCTACTTTATGCGCGTCATGAAGAGCATCTCAAACAAACTACAGACCTTCATCAACAGCTGTCTTCGCTCAATACTTAAGATCAAATGGCCAGAAAAGATCAGCAACAGGAATCTCTGGCAATGAGCAAACCAACCCAGCAGGAACCAATTGTGCAACAAATATGCAGAAAAGAAATGGAGGTAGATTGTCCGTACTCTGAGGAAACCATCAAGTGACATCACCCGCCAGGACATCGCTCGAGCGGAACCCGAATCGGAAGCCTCGAGTATTTGGTTGTCAGTGTGAGAGTGACATTGAGGAAGTGATGTGAAGAAGAGATGGAAGCATGTAGGCAGACGTGGAGCCAGGTGAAAACGTTGGCAGAGAACCAAATGCAATGGAGACGTGCGGCTGCAGCCTTATGTTCCTCTAGGATCTAAAGGAAACAATAATAATAAATAAATAATACTAATGTTTTATTTGGATACTGGAGACTAAACAAATCCGCAAACACGATTACTGTATTCCACTATCTGAAGCTTCTGTACAAAAGATACAAAAGACACTTTGTGTGATGGTTATATAACTACAAATTGAAGTTAAGGTGGGGTGGGATTCAAGCGTATAACCTATAGTTAAGCTAGTTCTTATATACTTATTGGAAGAGGATTTTTCTTCTTTCTTAGGGACTAGGGCAGTACGTTTAGCTCATAATTTTGTTTCGGAGTTCATATTTATCACTTAAGAGCCTTTATGTCTAGCTCAGTCACACGGCTTATGCGTTAAAATCACTTGTCTGACTGACTGATTGACCAGTTGAATTCTAACATAGATATTAGCACAAGAGTGCAACAGTTCAAGTTACCGCACACAAAAATAGACAAAAGAAAGGAAGAGATTTAAAAGAACCATAATAAGCAGAAATATGAGGGGGAAAGAATAGTTACAAGGGAAACAAATGAAGGTTTAATGCGTATGGGAGATCGCAAAGAGTCAGTGTATCTGCACCGTATCACCAAATAGTCTCCACCCAAAGGTTCTTAGCATCCCAAAGTCCTTAACTAGGCAGTTTACACCTCCCTGTGTGGTTCAAACCAACTGTCAAAGACTCCATGAACTGATGGCAGCTTTCGGTATGACCACCCTCATTCAAATCATTTTCTCCAGTGCAGCATCATATATATAACCAGGTAGTTTCTATTGTAACTTGTTGTCTATATCTTCAGAATAGAGTTGATGGATTCGCGTAAACAGAGACTACAAAAACCATCAGCTTATATCACTGTCTTTTCTAATTTTAATAATACCAATGAAACAAAGAGTTCACGTGCCAATTTCAGTTGGAAGTCAGTCAAGCAGTACACATTTGCTGTAGGCATTAATGCCAAATCTAAATATGCAATAGTGTGACGCCTGTCTTTTCGATTCGTAGATGCTAAAAGCGTTAAATTATCCCACCTGGATTCTTTATACGCCTCTCACCAACACAATACAAATCCATGGCGTGGGATGCCAGAATTTCGGTTAGTTTGACGCGTTGACCGATTCGATATAACGAAACAACTTTGAGTACCCTATTATTATTGGTATAAACTGATATCAGTGGTTAAATGGCCAGTGGACGGGGGGGGGGGGGGGAAACGCCTCGTACTATGGGTGTCCCGGGTGCATACTGTCGAAGAGTCCCAAACTAGGACGAAATGGCTATCTAGCACTCTCTAGTTTTAAGTGATTCTATAACTAATTTCATTTCGTGATCCAAATCGATCAAGTCCCTGTAAATATACATTTAAGAATTTCTTTATTAAGTGAGTAAAGCTTGGTAATTTTTCTTTTTCGGCATTTATCTATGTGTTAATTTATCTTTCAGGTATTTGAAGGACACAATCATTATGTAATGCAATTAGTCTTCAATCCAAAGGATAACAACACATTTGCTAGTGCTTCAATGGATCATACTGTCAAGGTATGGAGTCTTGGATCAGGTACACCGAATTTCACTTTGGAAGGTCATGAAAGAGGAGTCAACTGTGTGGATTATTATGCATCTGGTGACAAACCTTATCTGGCTAGTGGATCAGATGATCGAACCGTTAAAATATGGGATTATCAAACCAAAGCATGTGTACAGACTCTTGAAGGTCATGCTCAAAATATCAGGTGAGATTGAATTCTCCTAAAACAGACAACTTTGTTTTTGTTATTTTGTCTTTCCCTTTAAACATTTTTGAAAGTATTACTGATATGTTGAATTTACCAAGAAATTTACAAATCTTATCCCGAAGTTCGTATGGATTTTCACTCAGTGGGCGATTGTTACTTCCCGGCTACTCACACCATAGAAGTTGATTTTTCCTCGGGGTGCCTGAAACAGAAAGAGAATTAGTGTTGCGTGACCACAGATCCCAGGGGACAACTGCTTGAGGCCAGTCATACACACAGCCCGTTTGAATTGGTTATTAGAGTTGTGTCTGCATTCAGAACTTGCCTGCGGCTACGAACCGCCGTGAGTTAAGTCGGAATGTACAATTTTTCGTGGTCGACCTTTTCTAACCCCCCTCTCTCCAGAGTAGAGAGCCAGCATGCTGGTCATCTGAGAGAAATACTTTATTGCTGTTACATCCCTGTGTAAACATCTTACACTATGCTGACAACCACTTTTAGTCTAATCGCTATCCTACAAACCTTTCTGGAACAGTAGGACCACTAGGAACATTAGTTCCAGCCAGTTTATCTCTTTGTGTCGTGGCGTTATACGAACCCGACCACCACGTCAAGGTAACAGCTATCGGTCAGGACCCCAACCGGGACGTCTATTGTGTGAGGACTAGTAATTATACCTGGCTGCCCAAATCTCAGTAGGAAGACTGGCATTCAAAGCTACTGGTTAGAAGTGGAACGCCTAGGTCAAATAAGCTACAACTCCACCTCTGCCCCATCTACCGAGATGCAGTACCAATAATCTCCACAAAAATTTTCAAAAAATTATATTTTTATTCCTGTACGTTCCCAGTGGAACATAGGGCTTCAAGCTAGAGGCTTGAAGTTTCGGTAGCAGCGGTGTTTTATTTTTACAGAATGGGATTGCTAGCCACATGCCCAACCTTTCCTCTTTAGCAGTCTTATTACTGGCCTAGCTAGATTTAGGAGTGCCAGGGATCGAACTCCGGATCACATGTGGAGTGGTCGGTGAGTATTCTATGTCACCGACGCACTCAACATAGGGCTTCAAGCTAGACCTTTTAGGTTTCAGTAGCAGTGGTATTTTTCTACGGGTTGGGGTTGCTAGCCTCATCCCCAAACTTCCCTCTTTGTCAGGATTATAACCGGCTAAGGGAGGTAAAGGTGTGCGCCGGTTGAGACTCGAACCCCGGACCACCTGTGTGTGGTCGGCCAGCATTCTGCCGCTGAACCACCGACGCATCTCCACAAAATAAGTGTAGCATATTGTCAAATGCATAGAAGCGTAAGTAACTGGATTGTATAAACGAACCTTTTTGTCTTAAAAAAGAAAGCGACTCACTAGAGACACTAAATGGAGTACTGTTCATGTCTAAGATTGTTTTAATTGTTGGTATGCATATGTTTGTATGGAATTTTACTATCACTAAATCAATTCTTAAATATATATTCTGACATATATCGAATGGCGGTCAATCACTGTATATTCTGTCAACTGCAAAGATAAAAAGAAATTACTAACAGTTTAACCTCCAAATCGTGTTTTGTTTCAGGATTTCATCATGAGCTGACATTGGTTAGAGAACCATTGGAAAACCTGGGAGTACTGGACAACTGTTTCGTCCTAGTTTGGGACTGTTCAGCAGTACGCACCCACACCACAGGGTTCGAACCCAGGACCTTCTGGTTACAAGGCCAACGAGCTCGTAGACAATTAAGTCACTGGGACCCGATCTAATGGCCCATGAATTCTAACTTCTGCCAATTCACGATATAGCGCAACCGCTAGCCAATGTCTCCGGCGAGTATTTGTCCTCAAACCCGACCTGCTGCCCACCAGCAGCACAGAGGGTCGGGGTTCGACTCCCGGCCGACTCATTCCTAAACCTTGAATAACTGGAAGTAAACTGAAAGAAGAGAGAAACTTGACCGTGAGGTTGTCGACTCCAAACCGTAAGAATAACAACACCGCTACTGAAATCGCAAAGCTTGAAGCCTTATGCCCCATTCGGAATACAAAGGAGTTATGTTAAATTATTAGGTTGACTGTAACTGTTTTCTTATCAAACAAGATAATAAAACAGCCTTGAATAGTTGTATATACCAAAAGGATCCAAGTGAAATGCATGCTAGTTTCCTTTTCGCCTTCAACTCTTGTTGTTTGTTTTTCATTTCATGCTATTGTGGTTAAGTTTTTCACCTAAAGATAGATACTAATCTTTCTCATTACCTTTTCCCTCTCTCTCCCCCCTCTCTCTCTTGTAGCTCAGTTTTATTCCATCCTGAATTACCAATTATCTTAACAGGATCTGAGGATGGAACTGTACGATTTTGGCATGCAAATACTTATCGTTTAGAGTCAACACTAAATTATGGTTTGGAACGTGTGTGGGCAATGACATGTCATAGAGGCAAACAAGTACTAGGTATTGGTTATGATGAAGGTACAATTGTAATATCATTGGGTCGAGATGAACCCGCCATGTCTATGGATTCATCTGGAAAGTTGGTTTGTGCTAGACATGCTGAACTAGTACAAGCGAATTTACGTTCGTTGAATTTCAGTGGTGAAGGTGGTGATACTATTCAGGTGGGTGATGAGAATAGAATTGTTAATGACCTTTTGATATTTATGTCACTATTATTATTATTACTACCATTATTATTATTGGTTTTAATTCTCTACATTTCGAGGGGAACATCAGGCCTCAACAGCTAGACTGTATTGCGCTTGATTCTTCGCTACGACTTTCAGTTGGCTTTAGAACTTCACACAAGCTTTTTTCTTCTCCTCGGGATCCATACACGTTCCACTCAAAAGTCTTCTCAGAGTCTGTCCAATCCATCTCCACTTCCTTCTACATATTTGTTGAACGATGGTTTCTTCGCTGGTGGTGGTTCATGACCACAGTTCCTTGTCGCCTAACCTTTTTGACCGGTCATCTGATTTCCAGTGTTGACCTAAGGCGCAGCACTTAACTGAACTTAACGACTTAGGAATCGACTTGTTACCAGGGAATAGTCTTGTGGACTTAGAATATGCAGATGACATAGTCCTGTTAGGGGAGGATGCTGACAAAATGCAGAGTCTTCTGAACACTTTGAGCAGCAATCTTCGTATGTTTGGCATGCGATTCGCCCCTATAAAATGTAAGATGCTGCTACAGGACTGACTGGACTACGTCAACTCCTAGCTTAGTGATAGGGAGTGAAGTGATAGAACATGTTGACCATTTCACCTATTTGGGAAGTTGTATCAGCATCAACGGACTGATTGGTGACGAAATCTCATCACGGATCCAAAAAGCTCGGGTTGCTTTCGCTAACTTACGCCATCTCTAGTGTAGGCGTGACATCCGGCTATCAACCAAGGGACGTGTATACTGCTCAGCAGTTCGCTTCATCCTTCTCTATGGTGGTGAGACGTGGCCATTGAGAGCGGAAGACATGAAGAGATTGTCCATTTTTGACCACAGATGTTTACGATCTCTTTCTCACGTTAGGTGGTATAATAAGGTAAGTAATGTTGACGTTAGGCGTAGAGTGTTGGGCAAGGAGGGAAAATCAATCGACGAGGCTATAAAGTTACATAGATTGAGATGGCTAGGTCACGTGCTGCGCATGCCTAACCATCGCCTCCCCCGATGGACGGGCATTACTAGCTGATATAGGTAGGTACAGGTTGGAAAAGAGTAAGTGGTGGCCAAACAAAAACATGGCATCAATCCATGAAATCCTTGACAGTTAAACTGAGTCAGGTAGGGAGATGCAGACTTCCGGGTTGGGGCTTGCCCTCGAGATTCTAAGAATCAATGGCTGGAGACAATAGGTGACATGGCTCAAAATCGTTGTCAATGGCTTACTCAGATGTATTCAGTCTCTGTAATCTTTCATATTCCTTTCTACCATTACTCATTCTGTTTCACTCTTATACTTGTCAAAACTATTGATTTTCTTCACTCATCTTCTTGTCTACCTTTGTGTGCTATTTGGAACGTGGCAACTCGAACTGCTGCACTTCTGTGCCAAGTTCTATGTTGAATCCAGACAGACAGACAGACAGCAGCACTTGATGAACGTTTTTAGTGGCCTGTTGAAAATGTCAAGTCTCTGAGTCACATAGTGTAGAAACAGTTACTTGACAGTAGTATGTATGTAGGGTTGAATAGAATTCGGATCTTGTCCCTTACAATAAACTCTGAGGATCTCCATATTGATTTCTTTCACTAGTGATGATTAATTATCGATCTTTAGTACAAGAGGAAATGCAAAATCTCATTGAAATAGATCAGATAATAACTATCCTATTAAGTTCATTAGATACACATGCACACACAGAAGTGTCAGACAAAGGGCTCCACCAATCCAATCAGCTCCTGAGATCGATATTTGTAGATCTGTAGGAGGGGACTTTCTAGCGATCTCAGTAACAGAACAAGTATTTGAATAAAAATCCAAGCTAATGAAATGATAGTGTAACAGTATATTATTTTAAAAAAAATACAGTAATGAGTTATGTAAATTAATCGGTTACTTGGTGATACTACAGTTAAAGTCCACTGCTACAAATTATTAATATAATCCACAGAAGTGTTCACTTCTGGAGTGGTGTCTACTGCTAGAAGCTGTGCACTGGTTGTAGAATAGTCTTCGGATAAGGATGAGAGGTTCCTGCAAAATCTGAAGGATACAACAATGTTTGTAGTGAAGCAAGTAGACAGTATGGAACAGTAAGAACATAGAGCGTTGAGCAGCACACTGTATTTTAGATTCTACTCCTAAGTGATGTATATTTTACAATGAATTGTTTTAAACAAAAGTTATGTACAATGTGTTTCCATTTTTAACATCTAACAAAAGACTGTACAGTCTATCTGTCTGTCTGTTTTCAACATAGAACTTTGCATCGATGCACAGCAGTTCAAGTCTCCACACTCCATATAGCACACAAAGCAAGAGATTAAAGTAAAAAGGAATGCAAAATAGAGACAGTAAACAGGGATATGAGACAAAAGGAATAGTAATGTCGAAGAACAATATGGTTTTGTTGGATATTATAAGTCACAAGGAGTGGATGCATCTGCACCAGCCATTGAGAACGAGGATTTTGAGCCATATCACCGATTGTTTCTAGCCATTGGTTTTTACCGTCCCGAGGACCCCAACGAGGAAGCCAGTCTACACCTTCCTACGTGGCTGGCTTAAACTAACTGTTGTGGATTTCATTGACTGATCAGGCCATGTTTTGGTTTGACCACCAATCACTAGCTCTTTCCCAGCCTGACCCTATGTCAGCTAACGTTGCCCGTCGAAGAAGGCGATGTATTTATTAATGAACTTCTCAGGATATCCATTCTTAGATAAAATATCCTCCAGAGATTTTATTTCATGCTCAACAGTACTGTCAGAACAAAGTTTTCGTGCTCTATTGAACAGTGTTCTGACTAAGTTCTTTTTATACTGGATTGGAACAAAGCTCTTGAAATGTATGTCCTGTCCTGTCCATGAAGACTTTCTAAATATAGATCTTTCGATTGTGCCATCATTCATTTTCGCCAGAAAAACGTCTAGGAATTTAATAGTATCGTTTTCCTCGTGTTCTACTGTGAAATTGAGATTTGGATGGCATGAGTTGAACTTTATCAACATGTCTTCGGCTTTTGATCTGTTTCCACAGACAATAAAAATTTCATCAACATATCTTAGGTATATATCCGTTTCCTGTATATGTTGCTGCAGCGTACCGGTTTTTAGGCGTGACAAGAATAAGTCAGCGAAAAGTGGTCCCAAGGGGCTTCCCATTGCGACGTCATCAACTTGACGGAATAGACGCCCATCGAATTGGAATTGGACATTTTTAGTACATAAAAGTAACAATTTTCTCAATTCCGATTTTGGAATGGGTATGTCTTCAGTTTCTTTATATATGAAGTCGATAATCTCAACGAATGGCACATTTGTGAGGAGGGAGGTAACATCGAAAGAGACCAAATGTTTATCAGATACATTGAAATCTTTGATTTGCTTGACAAACTGAAATGAATCAGAAACTCTATACGTTCCGAAGCGTTTCCGCAAGGGCTCTGCAACAGTTCACATAGCCACTGTTCTAATTTGTGGTATGGTGAGTTTATCATCGAGAGTATGGGCCTTAACGGCGCTCCTGGTTAGTGTATTTTAACATGTCCGTATAGTTTTGGGACGAGTTCTACCGAAATTTGGTGAATTCATTAAATCCTGCTTTATTAACTTTTGAATTATCATTTACTTAATAATTTATCTAGGATGGTGAACGTCTTCCAATTACATTTAAAGATATGGGTACAAGTGAAATATATCCACAGACAATTGAACACAATGCCAATGGACGTTATGTAGTTGTTTATGGTGATGGAGAGTATATAGTTTATACGGCTATGGCATTGAGAAATAAAACATTCGGTCAAGGCTTGGAATTTGTTTGGTGTCAATCAGACGCTGGAGTGTATGCTGTACGAGAAAGTAATGCTGTGGTTAAGGTATGTGAAATTTATATATTCAATATATTCTCTACCCTAAGTATGCAATTCTTTGCCTTTTTAAAGTTTAAGGTGGTATATGAATGTGTAGTGAGACACAGTTGTGAGTAGATTTCAATTTAGCATTAACTGCCTTTGAAGTTTCGTTGCAAAATCAGATACTTAATATTCATTCCGTCTTCCCCTCTCTTTGCATTTTATCAAAGCGGTGGTTTTACTTTTATGGGGTGGGATTGCTAGCCTCACACTCAACCTTCCCTCTTTACCGGCCTTATTACCGGCTCAGTCAGGTTCAGGAGTATGTCGGTCGAGGATCAAACCCCGGATCCCGTGAGTGGTTGGCGAGCGTTCTACGGCTAAACCACTGACGCGCCTTAAGGAAACTGACACTGTTTCTGGAGTTCTGATCTGTTGGACTTCTTGCTAATGTTTCAGTGACTGTATTACTCAGCTATCTAGGTCATAGTTGACTCCCTGCAAGGCTAATATGGACAAATCAGTCATTCAGTAGTAACCATTAGAGAGTTGTGTAGTCTTTTTAGTGCGTTTGGGTCGGTATCTATCGATCAGCTGTGGAATACTATATAAGAGACGCCGTTTGATTGGGCACTAAGTAGCGACTAGTGTGATGCGTCTAGTCCTTTGTTTAGTGCAGACTGAATTCTGTTAGTCAAATTTGCAATCCTGAAGAAATGAATATCCTCTCCTAGGTCCGAACCTGAATAGCTCAGTAGTAACGTCTCTGACTATAGCACTGAGTGACACGGGTCTGAATCTCAGAGGGGGCTTGATTTCCTTCAAGGCAGTTGCAGATATGCCTTGCTGGCAAGTGCCAACAAGCACCAAGTTTAGGTTCAAGGCTTCCTACCGATTGCCTCCAACTATCTAATAACAAGACACCTTACTTTATGCTGATAAATAGTGAATAGCGTTCCAATTGGAATATTACTGGAATAAATAGGAAACTATTCACCTAATTATTGTTCATACAGGACTGTTTTTTGACGTATTAGCTTCAGTGTATGCATTTCAACCGACATGTTGTTTTCCCGAATTCAAGCTCACTATGTCAAATAGGTGATTTTCAGCCGCTTTACAAATGCATCTACCGCAACAATAAGGTGTACAGACTAGACGTCTATTTCATTTGGTTAAAAGAAATAAGCCTATCTGTCCTAATAGCTAAGAACGACACGTGAACCCTTTTCACGGGAAATGTTATGTCGAAGGGCAACATGGATATAAAAACCATTCGTGTTGTCAAGCTACTAGCACTTAGCAATAGTGAATCTAAGATTTTCTGTGAAATAATTTTCTCATCTCCTCTTTGTGTGTGTTTCTTCTTTTTATGTGCTGTTTATATATAATCCAGGTATTCAAACAAATGAAAGAATTGCGTACTTTTAAACTTGACTATGGAGCTGAACAAATATTCGGTGGTCAATTGCTGGGTGTACGCTCATTGACTGGTTTAACATTCTATGATTGGTTAACTGGACGAATCATTCGACGCATAGATAATAGTCCAAAAGGTGTTTATTGGAGTGAATCTGGTCAACTGGTTGCACTATGCACAAATGATGCCTTTTTCATACTGCGTTATTCAGCTGATGCTGTGCCGGATTTAGATACACCAGTGAATAATACTCATGAAGATACAGATGGTTATGAAAAAGCTTTTCAAGTAAGTTGGCCATAATTTTGTGTATATATCGATGGATTGTATATAATTGAAACATTTGAGAAGAGAATTATTATGATGATGGCTTTTGTGTGTAAGTTTATTTGACGAGTTAACTAGTGGCGATATAATCCAGCATGTCTGTCTGTTTTCGACACCGAACTTTGCACCGAAGTGCGGCAGTTCAAGTCGCCACACTTCATATAGCACACAGAGCAAGTGGAGAAATGCATAATAGAGACAGTAAACAGAGGTGTGAGACAAAGGAATAGTAAGAACGAAGAACGAAACAGTTTCATTGGGAATCATAAGTCACAAGGAGTGGATGCATCTGCGCCAGCCATTGAGAACGATTTTGAGCCATGTCACCAATTGTTTCCAACCACTGGTTTTTACCGTCCCGAGGACACCAACCAGCCAGGACGTCTGCGCCTTCCTACGTGGCTTAGACTAACTGTTGTGGATTTCATTGACTGATGAATCCATGTTTTCGTTTGACCGCCGCTAGCTATTTTCCAGCCTGACCCTATATCAGCTAACATTGCCCGTCGAGGAAGGCGATGACTAGGTATACGTAACACATGTCCTAACCATCTCAGTCGATGTAATTTCACAGTCTCGTCGACTGATTTCCCCTCCTCACGTAGCACTCGACCGATGGCTAACCTCAATATTGCTCACCTTATTATACCACTTCACATGGGAGATAGAACGCAGACACCTATGATCGAAGACAGCTAATCTTTTCAGCCATAAAGGAGGACGGAGCGGACTTATGATCAGTACACACACCCTTTGGTCGATAGTCGGATATCACGTCTACGCGAGAGACGGCGTAAACTAGCATACGCGAAACTAGCCCTCTGTATTCCTGCTGAGATTTCGTCAGAGATTAACGGGTTGGGGCTGATGCTACTTCCCGAATAAGTGAAGCGGTCAACGTGCTCTACCAATTCACTTCCTATGGTGTGACCAAATTATAACCTGGCATCAATTTATGAAAGAGGTTACTTCATTCACTTATCTAGGGAGCATTGTCTCAACTACAGGAGGAACGGACGAGCATGTCAAATCGAGTATCGGGAAGGCAAGAAACACATTCATCAACCTGAAACCAATCTGGAAATCTTCGTCACTCAACATCAACAACAAAATTCGGATTTTCAATACAAACGTCAAGTCAGTTTTGCTATACGGATCAGAAACTTGGTGGGTCACAAAGAATATTTCCAACAGCCTGTTGCACACCTTTATCAACAGCTGTCTTCGTTCTGTACTGAAGATCAGATGGCCGAAAAGAATCACCAACAAGAAACTATGGGAACAAAGAAACAAAACAAGAACCAATCGCCCAACAAATATGCAGGAAAAAGTGGAGATGGATTGGACACTCGCTGAGGAGGCCGCTGGGTGACATCGCGCGTCAGGCCATAGCTCGAGTGGAACCCGAAAGGGAAGCGGCGTGTCGGACGTCCAAGGGTGACATGGAGAAGATCGTATGAAGAGGAGTTGAAACAGTGGAGACTTGCAGTTGAAGCCCTATATTCCACTAGGAACCCAAGGGAACAATAATAATAATAATAAATTTATGAAGTCTTTGACATTTAGTTGGTTGGTTGTTAGTTAGCGGAATAGGGAGGTGTAGAGACTACTACCTGGTTGGGATCCCCCGGATGCTAAGAACCAAGTTCTGAAGACTATAAATGATCTAGCTTAAAATTGTTCTCAATGACTCATATACATTCACTGTTTGTTTGTGCTACCTCCAATATCCATTAAAGACCCTCAGGTTTTCCTTCTTACTATTCTTCAGTTAGCTGTAGAATCGCTAGGTCTGTGCAAGAACTGGCGTGGAATAATGCTCTCGTCCACTCATATCAAGTAAAATTCTAAGTTGCATCATCCTGGAGAGAATAAAGGAAACACTGGATACAGAATTCCGCCCGCCCTAACAAGCTGGATTCAGGAAAGGCAAATCATGTGCTGATCAAAATGCAACTCAACGCATCGTCATCGAACAAAGCATAGGATGGCAGTCAAACTTCTCCCTACCTCAACTTCATTGACTTCGAAAAGGCCTTTGACAAGCAGCGTTGACCGAGAAGTAATTTGGAAACTACTTCGACCTCATTCAACAGCTATATGACAATGCCACGTGTTAGGTGATCCACAATGGAAAACTCAGCGAGGCATTGGAAGTGCATAGAGGAGTAAGACAAGACTACCCACTGGTATCACCTATGATATTCTTAATTGTGGTGGACTGGATTATGCGTCAGACTGTGGAAAGTGAGGAGACAGGAGTACGCTGTACTGGTAAGAAGGCTATAGAAGATCTGGAATTCTCTTGTGGATGATATATATCTAATGTCATACAAACTCGAAGACTTACAGGTGAAAAGCAACAAACTGATTGAAAAAGCAGGTGGCGAAGACAAGACTCCAAGTGAACACATAGAAGACGGAGTTGATGAAGATAACTAACGAACGGCAACAGAAACAACAACCAGCACCAATCACTATCAACGGGAGAGATTTAACAGAGGTTGCTTCCCTCACTTATCTAGGAAGCATCGTTTCAACTACAGGCGGAACGGATGAAGATGTCAAAGCCAGTCAGTATCGGAAAGGCGAGATACGCCTTAATCAACCTGAAACCAATTTGGGAATCTGCACTCAGCTAGAATAAAGAACAAAATTCGGATTCTGATCAGTACATTAAGTCATCAGTCAGTCCTTCTATACGGGTCAGAAACTTGGCCAGCGTGTCACCAGAAGGATTTCCAACAGCCTGTTGCAGACTTTCATCAACAGCTACCACCCTCGCTGTCTCCATATTGAAGATCAAATGGTCAGAAAGAATTATCAACAAGGAACTCTTCAGTGGAACAAACCAACCAAGAAAAAGTGGAGATGAATTGGGCATACATTGAGCAGGCCGCCGAATGACACCGCACGCGAGGCCAGTGCTCGAGTGGAATCCAAATGGGAAGCGATTAGCGGATCTTCAGTGCGAGGGTGACATGGAGGAGATCGTGTAGGGCAGATATCAGAGATAATTGGCAATCGTGGAGCTAGCCAGCTGAAGAGGCAGGCAGAAGATAGAAGAAAGTGGAGATGTGTCGTTGAAGCCCTATGTTCCACTCGGAAACCAAGGGAACAATAATAATGTGTGTGTACATTTAGTCTGTCTAACAAAAAGCAAGCATAAACTAGTTTGGCGTATTGTTTACATCATCAAAATATTTCAGGAAAATCAATGAATAATCAATTGGTGACTAGAGGAAGGGGAAGGGGAGTGAAGATCAGTAAGCTTAGGCTAACATAAAAACACTATCAGAAAAAAATTGGATGTTAATAAAAGAGCAGTGCTACTATACGGATCAGAGACTTGGCGTGTCACTTCAAAAAAATAACTAAAGACCTTCATCAGCAACTGTTTTTGCTCAATACTACTCATGATCAGATGGGTGGCCAGGAAAGATCAGCAGCAGGGATCTCTGGCAATGAGCAAACCAAACAACCCAGCAGGAACCAGTTGTGCAACAAATATGCAGAAAAGAGGTGGAGGTGGATTGGCCATACTTTGAGAAAACAAACCATCAAGTGACATCGCACGTCAGGTCATTGCTTGAGTAGGAACCGAATGGGAGGCGGTGAGTAGGTCGTCATTGCGAGGGTGACATGGAGGAGGTCATGTGAAGAGAAGAGCCAGGTGAAAACGTTGGTGGAGAACCGAACTCCATGGAGACGTGTGGCCGAAGCCCTATGTTCCCCTAGGAAATAAAGGAAACAGTAATAATAATAACAATAATAATAATAATGAAACGAGATAGGTATGAAAATAAATTATGTAACAAGGTTGGTCAAGAAAATGCTGATTAAAAGTGTCATACGAAAAGTGCAGACAACAATATTAATAACAGAATATTGATAACAGTTAGACTTGGAATTATACCCAAGGTAGGTGGCATAGGCGGCATAGAGAAGTTTCTTTTGTGTTCACAAATCAGAGTTTTCCTTTCGCACCTCTAGCTAGGGCCTCCAAAATGCAAAGTATACAGAGGGGTATGCCATTTCCAGGATGTCGTTACTATTGACTTTGTAGATAACCTTGAATAAATTTCCCCTATATATATCATCGAGTGGTCTGTGTTGAATATATGTGTATTAAACTAAATAGCACTCCTTATTGATCCATTGGGATCTTTCTGTTCCTTGACTCGTTTAGATAAAACACGCATGAAATGATAGATTGTCCATCTCTATTTAGGTAGGGGGTGGGCGGTGGTGCATTTTCTCGTCTTATTGTCTCTTGTCATCTCCTAAGAACTACGACTGTCCACTGACTTCTTCAAAGCCATTATCTATTCAGTTATTGAGCTTTGGAGTCCACTTCTTCCTGTGTAACAGGTACTATTTATTGTTTTAAGCAGGTTACTCTTAGGCTTGTGCTCCACAAAATCCATCAATAAATACATGAAGGCTATTCACATGTCTTATTGTTTGTTATCTTTGCGTTACATTTGTTAGTATTTGGTTTTCTTCAGAAAAAAGACATTTCCCGTCCTCATTGTCTCTCTTCTCTTATAGCTTGTACCAAATGGTGAAGTCAATGCACAAGTTCGTAATGGTCGTTGGTTCGGTGATGCATTCATATTTACAACACAGACAAATCGTTTGTGCTATTATGTCGGTGGTGAAGTTGTCACATTGGCCTTATTAGATCGTCCAATGTATCTTTTGGGATATTTGGCTAAAGAAAATCGTCTATTTCTAGGTGATAGAGATTTACAGGTAGGTTGGTAGGAGCGGGGATAATTTTTTTTTAAAAATTATTCATGTATTCAATTCAATTCATTCCATGCAATTGGCTGCCATAACCTCGGTAAGTGGAGTTGGGTTCGAACCCGTGACCTACAGATTAGAAGTCAAGCGCCTAAAACAGCAGCTCAAAACCCAGTCGCACAATTTCAGGTTGTTATCTAAAGTTTTATTTAGAATTCAATTATGTATCAACTTGAATTTTACTGTCTCCGTAGTTAGTTTTTTTTAAATTAAAATGAGTAAACACGGCCTTTGGTTTAATGTAAGTAAATTTCCCTTCAATCGTGTTATAATTAGACAGTTGGTGCTCTAAATCGCCATTTACATGCTATTATTTGATGATTATTGTTTTGATGTACTTGTGTTCTCTGAGCTGCGAAGCTTTCATTTTCCGCTACTAGGCAACATCTTCAGCGCGTACTTCAATTCGACGAAGTGAGCTTTTAGATTTCTCAACGAGTTTATTAGTTATCGTTCATGGTTGGTGACCTTGAATGTGATTGGCTGTTTTTGTGTGTTTTCACACCCTCTAGGCTGCTACTTGTATTGGTACTGGTGTTGATTGTTTCTTTGACCTGAAGTTTAACACCCGTTGTGTATGAGATTTCCTTCGTATCGATTGGTAAATTTTGTCTATGTCAATGTGTCTATTGAGTGACGGTTCACTGGAATACCAGACAGGCTTCTAAAAATTCTCTGGCATTCTTGATGTTTGCTCTGTCTAGTATTTGAACGTCGTCCCAGTCGAACTGATGTCTGTGGTTGTCTGTATGCAGTGAGGCGATATAAAGGAGTGGATGTCATGTCTTTTGACGGCTAGTTTATGGTCATGGATACGAAGATGAAGGGGACGTCCGGGTGATTACTGTCGATGATATATTCCTTATCACATTTGTATAATCATATTCAACACTTTTTTGAACGGTGTGGTCACGATAATTTGGTGTAGGAGATTGTCTACTTACCACCTGTTTTTCTGCTAGCTAACTTCACTATCTCTAAGTTTCCAACAATACATAAGTTAGAATCCGGTTACTGGGATGACATTTTCATATATCAGGCTGCACTTATGATTTGAATAGCTCATGAAATTATCTCGTCACCGTGGCTGAGGTAGGCGACACCAGCGTCGAACTTACCGCCTCTATGCCACCGGTCAATTGGTAAAGTAAGTCAGGTGTAAATCCGCAGTGGTGTTCACCTTGGAAACAAAATGTAAATTTCACACAGCATGAGGGAAGGTGAGATAGTCAGAGTAATTTAAGAAATTATGATAGGCAAAATCAGTTACTTATAAGTAGTAATAATAATCTGGATAAAATTGTTACCTATATTATATGTGTGTGAAACCGCTGTTGTAATTATCTATGTCTGCCATTACTTTCTTTTTAGTTCTCTTGGGCATTCTCATTCTTCTTGTCTTTTATCATGGCCATTTTATATTATTTTGGTTGATGGTGACTAGCATTGTGGAATCCAGGATGCGCATTGCGTCCTGATTGAGACTCGTCGGTTGGATGCACTCTCATCTCCAGTGAGGTGATGGTTCTCCGACTGACACTTGAACTCTGTATCTATCGTTTCAAACATCAAAGCGTTAACCACCAGGCCATGAGATGCGCACCATGGGTTCCAGTGGTAGTCACTATCAACTGAAATAACATCATGATGCTGGGCGTCGACATGTCAACGGAGGTCGTGTATTTCAGTCCGACATTGTCAGTCAACAGGAAAAAGAAATCGACTTGAACTTATTTCTGTCTCATCTTGTTTTTCAGATTGTTAGCTACACTCTACTGTTGAGTGTTCTAGAATATGAAACTGCAGTGATGCGTGGTGATTTTACAACAGCTGATTCAATCCTACCGAATATCTCTAAAGATCAGTATACAAAGATTGCTCAATTCCTGGAGAAACAAGGCTATCGTAAACAAGCTATGCGTGTAACAACAGATATGGATCATAAATTTGAATTAGCTCTACAATTAGGTGAATTTGAATTATGCCAACAGATTGCAATGGAAGGTGATCCGAAGACAAATGAGAATAAATGGAAACAGGTGAGTGAACATGATTGAGTTAGACAAAAATAAGGCAGTTGTCAATTTCTGCACTTGAATATCAACGAAATGCTCACTAGCGGCTGGCCCTATTCAGGTAGGTAGTTACCTGGGTTTTAGTGGGATGTCGTAACCAGTAGGGTGCAGGTTGGGTTGAAATCTCAAAGTGGGGGATATCAGTTCCTTCAAGGCTATAAATAAGCCTTACTGTGAGGAGTGTCAATAATAAGCATGAAATCCTAGGTCCATGGTTTCACGTTAATTGTCCCCAACCATCTGAAATGTGTTCACTATAAATATTTCAAAAAATGGATGAATAAAATATGTACATTTTAGAAATACTGGAAAAACAGTGTTTACGGGAACATCTATGTTGATATTCTCTTATAAATTTGTACTAACAGGAGTTGCTCGGTTGATGATAGCTACCAGTAGAATCGAGAATATGCGTTTCATCCTGTTTGGAACTCCTCATCTGAATGTGCTTGATGGTGTTTCTATTGGGATTCGAACCCAGCACTCAAGGCGTTGTCCGTTGGGGCTCTAGAGTCACCCATGCTTCAACGAGTATCAGTTATTATTCACTGAGGTTATTATAACAGGCACCATGAGACGCGCCACACGAAGTCTCATAATAGAGCTGAGATAACGCCTGAACGCCCAGATCGAAGTAGGTTTTTAGGGACCATTTCCAAGGCATTTTACTTTTAAAGCGTGATTCACAAGATAAGTGAAAGCGACGTCAGAGGTCATGCTTCCATGGTTGGGGGGTGACCAAAACAGGTCCATGCGTCATTTGCTGCGTTCGGGTTCTAAATCTAATGTACACAACATAGCCTCCAAAGCCTCAGGATGGTCGGGGGTGGGTGCCTTGCGCTGCGGGTTGGCCATCCCTCCGCACACCTCTTGAAATGCTCCCATATGACCGGGCGTCTTACATAGCCTCTCCTGAGGAAGTCCTACTCACTGCCTTCACGTGGCGGAGGTGTTTTTCACCAAAGTGAGAGGGCGAAAGCGGATGCCCGGCGCTCTTCACCGGGTTGACTGTCCACTGGATGACAGTCTAGGGGAGATGGCTAAACCCTGATTTCAAACCTCCAACGACTGGCGTATGAAGCTCACCGGCAGACGTATGGATAAAGGGCTTGTTGGATGTCCTGGATGTCTGGCCCCATTCAAAAAGACGTATGAACCGAACTCCGGTCACCGGTTGCCAATGGATAGTTGACTCCCTACTCCACTCCTACTGCCTTGTAGGTCACACTTGGTTGTGTAAAGGCTAGAGCTGCACTCTCAAACAAAAGGCCGAGCGATTCTGGGGACATCACTCTTACCAAATTCCCATGAAACTTGATGAACTCTGATGTTCATGAAGCCGGCTCATCCTCCCGTAGGAGATAGCCGATGTAAAGTAAAAGTAAAGTAAGTTTAGAATCAGGTTTTTCTGGCTCCCCTAGGTGTAGGTAGACCAGCATGTCAACCAGTGTCTGGTTGTAAGCGTCAGATATTCGAATTCGCCCTTTCACTGTTATGAGGAACACCTGTGCTGCGTCAAGTCAATGAATAAGGCTTACGTGATAGAGGTTATGTATACGAGGTCGCACGAGAGCATTTCAGGGGAAGACTAGGACGTATCAGGTCGTTTATGGAGGCGCTTTTTTCTATAAAGAAAAGTGTGCTTGAATCAGTCAATCAAACTGACTGTCTGGTTTCAACATAGAACAACTTTGTACAGGTGTGCAGCAGTTCGATTTGCCACTCTGCCTCCATGTATCATACAAAACGAGAGGAGAGAGATAATAGAGGTGTGAGGGAAAAAGAATAGTAATATGGAATAACAATAGAATTCTACTGGATATGGGAGATCACTAAGGGTGAATGCATCTGTGACACAGATCGATTTTGATCCATATCGCTAAATATCTCCAGCCATTGGTTGGTTCATAGGATCCTGAGGACCCCAACCAGTCAGGTACTCTATGTACACCCCCCCTACTTTTCTGGCTGGCTTAAACTAACTGTTGGGGATTTCATTGACTGATGAAGCCATGTTTTGGTTTGACCACCAGCCACTAGCTCTTTTCCAACCTTATCCTATCCTATGTCAGATAACATTGGCCGTCAAGGAAGGCGATGGCTGGATATGGGTGACAAATGTCCTATCCATCTCAATCAATGTAACTTCGCAACCTCGTCGATTGATTTCCCCTCAATCAAACGTCGAAACATAAGTCTTGAAAAGTAAATAACGAATGAAATGATGAAAGGTAATCAGTGTAGGCAGTAAAAAAGAACGTTCATTTCCCCAAAAAGGTATGATAGATTAATTCACTGGGTTCATATAAATAAACACTAGGTATTCATTGGTTGGTCTAGGTGTGTCTAACCATGGAACTACGCTTCACACCTACCAAAATTTGGGCACTCAGTTAGTAGTGAGTATCACTAGCCTTCTCTAGCACAGACAGTATGATAGTGTATCTCTTTTTGCCAACTTCACCCTTCGACAGATTCTAGAACATAGGTATTCTTACCGGCTTCCAACAATCATTATATTTCTTGACCTAAAGGTGGCATTCCATTCTGTCGACCGAGAGGTTCTCTGGCGATGCTTAGCTGTAAACGGAATGCCGAGAAAATACATTGCACTGATTAAGGCACTCTACTCGTACTCATGCAGCCAGGTGAGGGCTTATGGCGAGTTGTCATCTGAAGTGGTGACGACTAGTAGCGTCCGTTAAGGATGCCCATTATCCCTATTTCTATTCAATTTTATCATAGACGTACTTATGGACTTAACCCTAACACACTTCAGCGACTCAGGGATTGACTTGCTACCAGGGAATAATCTCGTCGACTTAGAATATGCAGATGATATAGTCTTTCTAGGCGAGGACGCTGACAAAATAGAGCAACAATCTTCGTATGTTTGGCATGCGATTCGCCCCTGTAAAATGTAAGATGATACTGCAGGATTGGACTACACCGACCCCTAGATTAGAAATAGGAAGGGAAGTGGTAGAGCACGTTGACCGCTTCATTTACTTGGGAAGTACCATCATCCCTAACGGGTTGATCTCCGACGAAATCTCAGTACGGATACAGAGGGCTAGTTTCGCATATGCCAGTTTACGCCGTCTCTGCCGTAGACATGATATCCGACTATCGACCAAAGGGCGTGTGTACTGCTCATCAGTCCGCTCCGTCCTCCTTTATGGCTGTGAGACCTGGCCATTGAGAGTGGAAGACATGAAAAGATTAGCTGTCTTCGATCATAGGTGTCTGCGTTCTATCTCCCGCGTGAAGTGGCATCATCAGGTGAGCAATATTGAGGTTAGGCGTCGAGTGCTAGGTAAGGAGGGAGAAATCAATTGACGAGGCTGTGAAGTTACATCGACTGAGATGGTTAGGACATGTGTTACGTATGCCTAGTCATCGCCTTCCTCGACCAGCGGGCAATGTTAGCTGATACAGGGCCAGGCTGGAAAAGAGCTAGCGGCGGTCAAATCAAAACATGGCTTCATCAGTCAATGAAATCCACAACAGCTAGTTTAAGCCACGTAGGAAAGTGTAGACTGGCTTCCTCTTTGTGGTCCTCGGGACGGTAAAAACCAATGGTTGGAAACAATTGGTGATATGGCTCAAAGTCGTTGTCGGTGATGGCTGGCGTAGATGCATTCACTCCTTGTGACTCATTATTTCCAATGAAACTGTTTTGTTCTTCGTTATTACTGTTCCTTTGTCTCACACCTGTTTGCTGTCTCTAATATGCATCTCTCCTACTTTCTTCTCTTGCTTTGTGTGCTACATGGAGGCAGTGTGGCGACTTGAACTACCGCACATATGTGCAAAGTTCTGTGTCGAAAACCGACCGACCGACCAACCTTGCATACAATTGCATCTGGTTGTTGAGTAACATTCCATTGAAATCAGGTATGTAGTTCCGCCTTCCGTTAGTTATCTCGTTTCGTTAATGTATATCCCCTTGTAAAAGTTCTTTCTACATAAGATAACAGTTTTAGCAAAAGCGATAAAAAAAACGTAGTCAATTTGACAAACATCCTGATTCATTCCATATGATTTAAACTTGTTACTGCCGCATTCAATAAGAGAGTTATTTCTACCACTTCTCTCAATTTTTCCCTTTTCTTTCTTCTTTGTTAAAACAGTTAGCTGAAGCTGCTTGTAAAGTTTGCAAATTTAAATATGCTGAAGAGTATTTATCACATACAGAGGATTATGCTAGCCTTATGCTATTGGCAACTAGTTCTGGAAATCGAAAATTACTCGAGTGGATTGGTAAACAGGCAGCGGCAAAATCAAATGATAATATCGCCTTTTTAGCACGTTTTCTAACATCCGATTTGGAAGGTTGTCTTGAGGTGAGTTACTCTTATTCCTATTCTTCTTCTGCTTACATACATCGTTTTATTATAGTTATTATTTTTGGAAGACCATATGACACAACATCTGTGAATTCGATTTATCTGTCATTCGTCCATCTTTTCTCACTGCTAGTTAAGAAAGGTGTCAATATCATGTGTTTGTCGATCGATAACTGCTAACTGGATGATATATGGTGGTAGGGCTTGAGTGTCGAAGTGACCAAATGAGCTATAATGATTGGAACAAGTGTACCTGTAGGTGCTGTGCCATACAAAAAAGGTCACTTTGATATTTGTTAGATTATTAGCGGTCTGAGTGTGAATTCGTAGTGCTGGCGAATAGAGATGCCAACAGCAGTGAAGTGTTTTCTCCAGATTTCCAGCCAGCTGGTCAGCCAACCAATACTGTTGTAACGACAGAAGACAAGGGCAAGGCAACAGATCCTTTATTGAGGAAATCAACACATATTTATAGATTTTTATGTACATTATTATTAGCGTTATTGTTAGCAGACAAACAGCGTCTTCTGATTGGTTGTTTTCTTGATGAAAGTGGTTATTCTGTCATCTCTTTGTGGCCGTTTATTTGAAGGTCACATCTTATATCTGCGAATCGTATCCGCCCACGCAGTCTGCTGTGATTGGTTGTTGAGTTAATCTTTGTTCTTGTTCTTTTCTCATGACCAAGATTTGGGTGGCAAACATTGACGTAAATTTCTGTCTACCAATTTTGGTTGGCAGACAGTTCTCACCAAACTATCACCCTGCTCTGACGAGGAAGAGGAGGAGAATTAGACAAAGTCTATCCAGATTTATCCTGCGGTGCTACAGACACAACTGCAAAACAAGTTGTGTCTAAAAGATCTCAGGCAGTTCTCATCTGGGCTCTATGGTCACCAACCTCCACAGTGTGGGTTGCAAGGGGTGGATTAGTAGCCCCCAACACATTTTCATAAGTACAATCCTTCCGATTAATAAACTTGAACAAAACAAGAACGAAAAATGCACGAAGACAATATGACTTCATCTTTTTCCCATCATTTCGAGGACTCTTCTCAATACTGACCAACCTAGACAATACAAAAATATAAATCACATTACAGATTCCAACATACTTTGGTAGGAACTAAGAGTAACACTAACCCGGAATGGTGCAAGTCGTTAAATAATTAAGAGTGAAAAGGATTGACTATTCATGAGGAAATCAGATAAATTTGCTTGGAAACAAAAACGGATAGAGTTCAACAAACAAAGTTTAACTAGAAAGAGTATAGGTTGTATAACCACAGAAAATATGTTTTTATACAACAGCCAAAAAATGACGGGGATTTTGGGTAGGGTGAATCATGTTTAGATGAAAAATAAAATAAAAATAAAATTCTCTGAACAGGACAGGAAGATGACGTAGTAAAATTTGTATACTTTGTTCTCATCAAGCCAGCACGAGATTCACCGTTGTCTCTTTCTACATACATAGATTTATTTTTAAACTGTTTGATGGCAATTGCCTCAACTAGGTTTCTTTCGCCTTTTGATTATTTTTGAACGCCTTAAGATTGTCTCCAATGTGGCCAGTGTTCAATAGATAACGCGCAATCGTACTGTTTAATGTCTGTTGGTCATTTAGTTGCAGGTTCTCTTCGGTATGTGTGTGTGCTCAGAAATAATAATAATAATAATATGCTTTATTCCAGTAACAGTACTAGTGGTACAGTGTGGAATTTTCAGCACATATCTACAATATTTGCATCTAATTTTATCAAACGTTTAAAAAGGAGTATTTCAAAATAATAATAAATATAAAGACACCAACAGCAAAAAACAACTACAAAACACAAAATAATTTTTAAAAATGCGAAAAAACAAGAAGTAGAAAGGAAAATAAACAACATATAATTATATCTCAGTATTGGGTAGTGGAAGCTATGATATGATTATGCATGGTGACAGTAAAGCTATAGTCATACAACAAGTTATGAAATGATATTTAAGAATGTTTATCGCCAAGATGATCAGTTAATTTGGTTGAAACAACTCTAAACAATCATAAAATAACATTTCAGGGTTGTTTTTTTAATCAGGTCTAATTGCGGTGTTTGTATTAGTAGTGTGAGTAATCCTGCATAATACAAAATTTTAAGGTGGTGACAATGGCGTTCACAACCAATGATTGTCAGTTAATATTGCCGAAAAAAAATAAGAAAAAACAACCACAAAACTAATAATTACATGATGGTTAATGACAGGACAATTTCGTAATACTCATAGTGCTAGTCGGAACCAGTAGATACACAAAAGAAGGAATACAGTAAAGTACAAAAAGGAAGCCAATGTTAATAATTTAGGTAGCTAAGTATTTTTAAGAAGGAGTTCACTATAGAATACAAAATAAGAGAGAAATAAAAGAGCCTAAAATTATGTCATTAACAACAAAGCAAGTCATAGGTTTCGCGCTTAACATTATCTCTTCAGTCTATGTAAAGCGTCGGAACATTTCTTTCTGTAGGTAGTTACAAAGTATCTATGAAATACAATCATATTATGTAATCATGTTGATAACCGCCTTCTCATTACATCATTTTTATAACTTTGTTTTGTTGTTTTTTTCCCGACCACTTTCTTTCTAGCTGTTAACAAGTGCAAAACGTTATCCTGAAGCGGCATTCTTTGCTCGTACCTATTTACCAAGTTGTATGCCGGAGATAGTTGAACAATGGCGTGATTGGTTGGATAAATCGAATAAAGCCAGTACTAAGATTGCTAATTCTTTAGCTAATCCAAAAGATTATCCGAATTTATTCCCTGGTCTTGAGGTAGGTGATAATATCATCAAGTGGTCTGTAATTATCAAATAGGCTTATTTTTATGCTATTGCTACATAACGTGTGTATTGTACTCTGTCTTCGGGTGTCAAGATAATGTTTTTGTGACTTTGAAAGTGGTTTTGATAGGAAGAGACACGTAGCCATGTGAATTCAGCGCTCCATTTTCAGTCTGTTAGTCCCCGGGTTTGAATTCTGTCTCGTCTCGTCTCGTCTCTTTCAGTGTATGGGCAAGCTCGGTAATATCATCAACCCTCATGTAGTATGTTTGGCTCATAGCCTGGTATATATACGCCAGTGGATTCTAACAACAACAGCAAGAACGACAAAAAGAACAATTCTCATTGAAAATTGGGACTAGTACAGTCATGCAAGCGAAAAGCAACAAGTTGGCAGAAGAAGCATCAAAGATAGGACTTCAGGTTAACATAGAGAAAACAGAGGTGATGAAGATTCCTGGGCAACACCACCAACAGCAACAACAAACAACAATCAGCATAAATGGGAGGAACCTGAAAGAAACAACCTCCTTTACCTACCTTGGAAGCATCGTTTCAACTACAGGCGGACGGAACTGACGAGGATATCAAAGCAAGAATCGGAAAAGCAAGACAAGCTTTCACTACTCTCAAGTCTGTGTGGAGGTCAACAACACTCAGCATCAAAAATAAGATCCGGATTTCCAACTCCAATGTGAAGTCAGTGCTACTATACGGATCAGAGACTTGGCGCGTCATAAAGAGCATCTCAAAAAAACTACAGACCTTCTTCAACAGTTGTCTTCGCTCAATACTCAAGATCAGGTGGTCAGAAAAGATCAGCAACAAAGATCTCTGGCAATGAGCAAACCAACCAAGAACCGATTGTGCAACAAATAAGCAGGAAGAAATGGAGATAGATTGGCCATACTCTGAGGAAACCATCAAGTGACATCACTGGACAAGCCATTGCTCGAGTGGAGCCCGAAAGGGAAGCGGCGAGTTGGTCGTTAGTGCAAGGGTGACTTGGAGGAGGTCATGTGAAGAGGAGATGAAAACGTGTGGGCAGACTTGGAGCCAGGTGAAAACTCTAGCAGAGAGCCGAACGCAGTGGAGACGCACGGTTGAAGCCCTATTTTCGTCTAAGAATTAAAGGAAACAATAGTATCATAAAGTCATTTAACTTCACTGTAAAGGCGGATACTCATCTAAGACACTGAATAGTGGTGTCATTTTAATCAGCAGCGTGTTTGACAGGAGACATGATGGCCATTGGTTTGATCCTTCAGAATTTTATCTTAATGCGCATTGCTAATTTATCTCACAACTAAGACAAAAACATGCACATATAAAAGAAAGAGTCAGGAGTAGTAGTCATGAATCGATGATGTCTTTGACTTTTAGCTTCATCCATGTTTTGCGGGTAGTAGGTGTAGACTGGCTAATAAACCAGTGGGGTTGGAGACCCGTTGTCAGTAACACAGAGATGCGTTTATTGTCCGTCATGTGGGCTCTTTTAATGAATTGTAGCAGATCAAACTGTTGTACTGTTGAGCACTGTTCCCCATTGGAAAATTCAGTTAAGTTCTAAGGTTGGGCAGCGTTGGACATAAAACATAACTGATTACTCAATATGGGAGTACTGGACAGTGAGCTGTTTCGTCCTAGTTTGGGGCTCTTCGGCAGTACGCACCCACCTGGATTCAAACCCCGTGATGAAGATTCCCAAACTAGGACGAAACAGCTCACTGTCCAGTACTCCCTGGTGGTTTTCCAGCTCAGCTCATTATGAAATCCTGTAAAACCAATCAACCAAATCCCTACAAAAACCAATACTTGATTACTCAATAGTTTTTCTAATCGATCTGTGTAATTTTATCCATTTTTGCATAACTTACCACCGTCACACACACACACACACACACACTAAACCATTTATTCTCATTATTACACACACCTATTTATTTTAGGAGGCTTTATCCACTGAAAAATGGTTAAAACACGATAGACAAGCACGTTCCAGACTGCCAGCTTCCACGTATCCATCTCAAGTCTTGCCAGGTGATCGTGATCTATGCGCTGAAATGCAAAATCATCTCTCCGTCTCCAACACCAACTCCTTCAACTTACCTGATGATGAACCGTTAGTCAGAATATCACCTGTTGAAGCTAAAGTGCCTACAATTCCTAGTGTCATAGGTGCTGCTGCCGCAACCGCTACTGCTGCTGTGGGTGCGACTGCATTAAATCTTTCTGAATCACAACCATTACAACCGTTACAACAGCAACAACAGCGCAGCATTTCACCAGTTAGTCAAACAGTAGCACAGTGTAACAGTAATAATATTAATAATGAGAATGTTATTCCTAAGAATAAAGAAAATGTGCCGGCAAACAGCAACGATGATGTTGATGATGATGATGACGATGTTGATTCAGTGAAGCTAATTGGCGATGAAGAGGAGGAGGACGGTGATGAAGACGAGGAAGAGGACGAAGGAGAAGACGGAGAAGAGGAAGATGATGATGATGAACAAGAGGATCTTGAAGCAGAACACGTGGAATCATGGTACGACGATGATGATGATGACGAGGAAGACGACAATGATGATGTTGTTGGAGACAAGAAGGCGGCGCCGGTGAGCAGTACTGGTTTACAACAAGGGAAAAAAGTCGAAAAGTCTACAAAGTGAATAGATGAATAGCAGTGACAGTAGGCCATATATGGGAATGTATTGTGATCACTTTTTTCTTTCTTTATTTGTTTGATTGTTTTTTTTGTTTTAATATCTTGCTCTACTTTCTTTCCATTTGATGACTTCTTACAATGTGAAGGTTATTTGGCTATTAATTTTTAGTACATTTATATATATATATATATTAAATTCTGTATATTTTGTACTTTTGTACGTTTATTCTGTGACGGTAAACAAACACAAGGAGTTTGTCTGTGTGTGTGTGTGAGTGTGTACACGAGTTACTTTTATGGCTATAGGATGTCATCATCATGAGCTGACGTCGTTGGTTAGAGAATCATTGGAAAAGCAGCTGCTGAGAGTACTGCACAGACAGCTAGCTGTTTCGTTAGCCTAGTTTTGGGACTCCTCACCTGTCAACATGTACTCAAACTGCTTAGTGTATTGTGTTGCTGTCTTGAGATTGTTCGTTGGAAGTTACGAAAAGAATCGGAGTATAGCAATCGCAGCTGGGGAGTGGGGAAGTTGGCGTATGTATGTATGTGCAGAGATTCTTTTCAATGAATTTACTATTTAGCAGGTAGAATCGTATATTTGTATGATTTCTGAGAAACTGTTATCGTGCAAGGGAATTTAAACAACAGGTGTTTGGATGGTAATCATAATAGATATTTGAAAAAAGCAACAGATTGAGTGAAGAAATATGTTATATTCCCTTTCAATAAGCAGTTCCTCATCATCCACCGGCTGGATCTACACTAATATATAATCGTTTTTTACATCAAATTCTGTTTTTACCAATCAAGTGGTTATTTTTTAGTTAATCAGTTTTTGGTATAGGGTGGGGGAACTGAAATTAAGAGGTTAAAAGTCATCAAAACATCAATTAACTAAGAGATGTTAGTAAACAAGCTATCTAAGTTTTGAAGGAGGGGTAAAAATCAATTTATTTACGGAATTCAAGATAAGTTGGTTCTTAGGCGTTGGCAACAAGTCATTATATAATCAAGAAATTTGTAAAATAGCGATGATGACTAGTAAGCATAGGATGATACTCAGAAGAATTACGTAAATTACAAACAAGTTAGTAGAACTAGAAAGGATTGTAAAAATTAACAAAGTTAAAACATAGTTACAAGAGGAGAAAAAAAAATCGTTTTTAAAAACTTAATACATATTATGTTGTTGGCCATGGCAAAGAAAGGGGGGGCTATACAAATTTCTTTTGAACACACAGTTTTGGCTTGTTCAGATGAATTCCGATTGCCTCTGCTGAATGTAAAAGTCGTACTCGTAGACCATGTGGCGAGAGGTTGCGTGATATAGGATAAATAACTTTAAAAGCTTTGTTGGAGTCGATTTGATGTCCAGCCAGTAATGACGAGATGAGCTAGTACTGAGCTGCGTATAGTAGCTTTATTCGGACCTTTGCCAAACCAAGATGGGAGGAGGTGTTTAGAAATTCGCCGATGAACTTGCCTGATCTATCGTATGCCCAGTGTAAATAGCTCCACATGGGCAGTTAAACTGGTAAATACATATGGAAGAGGCAAAACAGGACAGTGTGTCTTTATTTCTTGAACTAAGTACTGGTCGGCTAGTGAATACACAGCATAACGTGACTGCGTTGAAAGTCCTTTTGAACGCCCTTCTCAGACGTTGTGATAAGATCTCACTCACTATTGACATCACCCGTGAATTGTAATCTTACGAAGACTGATTGTTTGGGAACTTATCTTGAACTCCGTAGTTAATTGATTTTCACCCCTCCTTCGAAACTCAGATATCTTGTTACTAACATCTATTAGTTAATTGATGTTTTGGTGACTTTTAACCTCTTAATTTCAGTCCCACCCCTTATACCTAAAACTGAGCACTTGATTGGTAATGGTTTTGCTTGTAAAAAACTATATATATTAGTGTAGATCCAGCCAGTGGATGATGAGGAACTGCTAATTGAAAAGGAATGCATATTTCTTCACTCAATCTGTTTTTGTTTTTTCTATATGTGTAAATGGAAATTTAGAAATTAATAAACATTGATTGAGATAGAAAACATCTATGAATGTGATCTTCGTTAAACATCAAAGGATAAAAAAATCGGTTATGTCATACTCAAAATAGTTCATAAAATGAAAATATATCAGTAATACTGCAACCGAAACTTGGTACACATTATGGACTCCAGGAGATGCACCACACAAAATATCATGCTTTGTGTACAAGGGTTGAGAAACTCCCTAGACACTCAAATCGAAGCGGGCGGTTGTCTTGAGGGGCCAGCATCCTTCCGAGCTCCACAAGGCAGTCGACCTGCATTTCCATTGGTTGTAGTTGATCAAAACCAGTTTTATACGCCATTCAGTTCTTTTCACACTCGAGTCTATGTACATCCTAAGTCGGGAATCAGCGTTTTCCAGCCCTCTTAGGTAGTTTTTTTTTCATACATTTATTCCCCTTTATGAATTTGAGTAAAGCAAGAACAACAGTGGCTTGTGCAGAATAATACGGTAGAATCATTGTTTGATTCGTTGGTTTCTCATCAGCTGCTTACAGCCTAAATAGATTATTATTAAGTTCATGTACAGAAAAGTTTTAACATACATGCGAATCTTACATGATGTCAGTTGAGGTCAGGAGGTCCCCGAATTAGGTTACAGTGCTCAGAAAATTGCAGTTATACAGTTTCTGCACAGGGAGGTCAAGTTCAAACAAAGCAGATGTATGCATACAACGGCAAATGAGTTGCGTAATAAGGACGAGAGATGCGTAAGATGATGAACAGTTTGAATAAATTGGGTAACAATGTACTGAGTTCAACTCAAATCATAAGAACAAGAGACAAGCAAAAGTACACTATGCCAAAGGGAGGTGAGGTTAAAGTCAAAGATTACGTAATCAAATGAATGGGAGAGACAGTGAAGATATCCAGTTACCACGATGGGCAAGGAAAGACTGATAACTGCTTCTTTCTGAACACAAGTCGGGTTTCAGGCGTTTGATAGACGTTGTTCCGACAAACTTGAGGAAAATTGAGCGGTTTTGCCCATTGATTATTTTAAAGAATTTTTCGATTTCCACCTGATGACCCCTATGTAGGGGATGCCTAGTTATGGCAGTGTTGTAAGGGTTTGATCCCTTGAGATGTAGGTTTTTCGGTATATGTTCAGAAAATCGGAGGTATGCCCTTCTCTCTGTTCCTCGAATGTAACTGCTCCCACAGATACACGTAAATTTGTATACACAGTTGGAGTTAACGTGAGAAGTAGGTAGGTAGGTAGGTAGACGGGAGATTTCATCAATCCATCTGTAGGCGCCATATATCCTCTTTCTCGCTTTCATTTTTATGAGGAACACTCCTATTGTGTATGGTCACATGAGAGCACTTTGGGAGGTAGAATAAAGTTCACCCACCTTCAGCCGTAGTACCAGGTCATTTGTGGATGAATGACTGGATCTTAGGAACGGTTGGGAAATAAATAAGATCCGTAGACTAATACGACATTATGTAATAAAGCAGAGAATAGCTTGATAAGACATAGTTTAACATTGTAAAAGATATGTTGAATTAAACTCGTGGGGGAAGACATTTGAAGTAATACCATAAACAACTCAAAGCGAAAATGGTAATAATAATAGTGTAGTGGTGTGGTATAGACAGTGTGTTCCAACGGAGTACGATTCTCACATTTCAATACGTATTTGAATATTGTATTTCACGTCGTATAATGTAAGTTAAAATCACACGCTCAGCGATTGGTTAACAACGAATATAAAGTGTCTATAAATGACCTTAAAATTATGATCAGGTTTGACTGAGTGACAGAAGCCAGTCATATGTTCTAGAATAAAACTTCTCGCATCTTCTCTTCTCCCCTTATAAGACAATGTTAAGATATACTCTCGTATCTGTGTGGAAACCTCGGTGGCACAGCGGTAGAATGCTCGCTATCGATGCATGTGGTCCGGGGTTCGACCACCGATGCACTCCTTTACCTCACTAAGCCAATAATAAGACTAGTGAAAAGGGAAGGTTGGGGGGCATGAGGCGGCTGGCTGGCAAACCTATCCCGTAAAAATAAACACCACTGCTACCGAAACTTCAAGCCTCTGTGGCTTGAAGCCCTCTCTATGTTCCACTGGGAACGTAAAGGAATAAAGAAGAAAAATCTTTTTGGAAAACAATTCTCTTGCTTCCACTGAGATCTTCAACCGAAATAGGCTCCGGCTAGTGAAAGTCAACTGAAGTCTTACCGTGAAGAACATCTTACTGACTCATTTAGAAAGATTTTCGAGCACATCTGAAGATTAACCACGTTATAATTCCAGCTTCATGAGGGGTTGGTTTTCTTTGGAACTGAGTTAGTGAACAGTTTCGAATATATCCTCCTTGTTTTTATCAATAAAACAGAGGAGGTTACCATTTCCATCCAGAAAACTTGCTTTTTACGCAAGAGAATTCTGTGTTATTGGAGGCGGAACAACTAATCCTGTAGCAGAGGTAATGGATAAGATTCCTTTTCCTGGAAGTCCACCCGCAACTATAGCAATTGGCTAATTGTCCATTGCATATACTTTATCGATGGTTGGATGGATCCGTTAAGAGGTCGGTCGCTACGTCTTGTGAGGAATACATCAAAAGGCGGTATGTCTAACTCAGAATCCTTATTTACTAGGGTAAATTTTATCGATTGACTGCCCCGTTTAGGTTAATTTTGCACTTTCTGTTGATTGATTATGTTGCACCGGAATATGACTAATCTCCGTTGACATATCGGCTCCTGGTGTGGTGAGAGCTGTCTGCAAGACAAAATTTTAGACAAAAATTGACGTCTATGATTACGTTCCAAATCGGGGTCATGAGAAGAAACAAGAACAAGGCCTAACCTTGAGGAACTCAACAACCAATCACAGCAGACTTAGCATGGGCGGATACGATTAGCAGATATATATCAACGGACTGTCTAAGAAACGGCAACAAAGGGATGACGGAATAACCTTCGGCAAGAAAACAACCAATCAGAAGACGTTGCTTCTCTGCTAACTATAAATATCTGTCGATTTTCTCAATAAACGATCTGTTTCCTGGCCCTTGTCTTCTGTCGTTACACTGGTACAGACACTTTGACGATGTCTGAGAACTAACGTTATTTTGATTGATGGCAATTGTTGAATGGAGGAGTGTTCAGTGTGTATCTTCAAGAACAAAATTCTTATCGCACACAATGAACGTTCGTTTACGTATCTTCTGTAGGTATTAAAGCAGTGTGACATGAACCAATCTGTCAGAGGTAGTAATCCCATCGCAGTACCATCATCCTTTCGACTATAGAACGTTAAATGTTTACGTCAATAATTCTCTTACGGACAGGTTTCTGGTGGTGCATTACTAAACAACAAGGTCATATCTAGTGCAAAGATGACTTCACCTGAGGCATTAAAATCCCTAGTAAAAACTTGAAGCGTATCACCGATGGAAAATTTAGATACTTTTCTTCTAATGAGTTCTAGTATTTCAGTTAGCCGTTAAGCAATACTGTGATGAGGAGAACTCACCATATCTGAAATTAGATGAAAAGGTATTCTTGTTTCACGAATTTTCCGTATTCCATTATAAATGTAGGGTTCACAGAGTTGACAGGTCGGATATGTACATTTAAATCCGAGAGATTTATACACTTATCCCTCATGCTTTTTAAAAAATTTCCCATCTGGTTTCCAGCTCATGAATTATACCCATCCAGACATTAATGAAAGCAAAACACGTGTAGTTCACCGAAGAGTCTCTTTACGCTGAGGAATTCATTCACAATTAGCTGTACAATCGCAATTATAGATACTTATTTTTGTATATCTGTGCACATTAGGTTTGTTGGATAAGAATAAAAATAAGTCGGAGTTATTGTTGTCAAGATATTTCAAAAATGTTAGAACAATTAGTCCCTTTGATAAATTTGAATAAGGCATTTGGAAGATAAATTCCGAGAGAGATGATATCGTCATTTCGTAGTTTCTTTACAACCACTCCACACAACTAACATGGTTCACAATAATAAAGTAAAATATAATGCATGACAATTACTCAGTTGCTATATAAAACAAAAGTACATACTAATGACCAATCATATTTTTAAATAGGTCAAGTAGTCAATTCATGGTAGGCAACGGAAGGTTGAAGTCTATTGTTTTCTGAATACACACATAGTTTAGGATGTATGCGATGAATTCAAAGTGCTTCTCCTACCACCTTTTAATAACCAACCTTGAATTAGATTTATGCGATGAAATAATTGTGAAGCAGTCATTAATTAATATTGATTTTGTGACATGACAATAATAAGTGCATTGCAATGAATGATCATGACGGATTTCAATTCAGATTAATAATTGCATTGGGATTTTCTATGTGGCTAAATATGTTATAGGTATAGAACTTGGGCACTGTGGTACAGTATAACTCCATTATTATGGATAAGATTTTATATTGATAAATCACACAGTGTAGTGTTATATAGTAATATTAACTGATGACGTTTCGAGCACAAATTACTGCTACTGCTCATAATCATATCAAGTTACTCACACAACTTCTTTCCTTCATTCATACACATGAGTAGAAATTGATGATTAGACACTTGAATAAAATCAATATAAGATGAGAAAGTGCATTCGGAAATAATAATATTAGTGTTATCAATAAACTACAATCAGATGGGAAATAAGATGTTTTTATAGTCAAAATAAATAAATAACTTGTTGGAATGTTATATGTGAATTGAACTGAATACATTTTAACATTATTTATTATCCTCCTGTGATTTGACTGGTAATAATATCTCACATACATATCTCTGGTGTTTGCGTTGGGTCACTTCTATTGCTCATGTGTTGAGTGTGTAGACTCGATGAATCAGGATTCCGTAACCAGCCACCTCTCTCTCCACCTGCCTATATTACTCTTGAGAATTTTGACCCTGTCCCACCCTATTGCGTGGTTGTGTGTTAATGCGTGCAGTGATATTGCTGAGTTTTTTTCTAAATTATTTCTCTTCGTGGGATCAATCATTCCAAACTCCTGATCTACTAGTCTGACCTATGTAGTTGACCTCAGTCGCAGTCATTGCAAGGTATTTTGTAAACTATATTATTTTGTTCAATTGGGTCCACCGGGTCTTTTAGCCTACAGAGCTTGTCCTGCCTGAGTGAGTTTGTAGGTTTGAATACCACCCTAATTCCTGCTTTATTAAAAATCCTACGTAGGATCTCAGATGTTCCCTTTTTATATGGTAGAACTGTATATGCCTTATATTCCTTCTTATTTATGTTCTCATTATGATTAATTTCACCATTATTTTTATTTTGCTTGTGACCGTTTTTGATCTTTCTAATGAATTTTATAGAATAGTTAGTTATTTAACACCAACCCAGCTATTCTTCTATCTGTTTCATTTCATCATTTAGGTCTTTTTTTGTACTACTTAATGCTATTGCTCGGTTTGTTACACACTTAACTAAACCAGCCTTTACAGACAACGAATGGATTCATGTCATGAGCAACAATTTATGCTGTAAACGTGGTCATCAGTAAATATTACTGTACCACACTGTATGATTTATCAAAATAGAATCTTATCCATAATAATGGAGTTATACTCTACCACCACAGTGCCCAAGTTCTATACTTCTTTTATATCAGTTAACATTTCTCAACGAGGAATATGGCGGCTTTGCATACGTAACAAGTGTCTCAGATATCTCACTCAATGCAGATTGATTCAAAACCTCATCCAATGACTGCCCTGTCCCCCTGCCCACTCTACGCCTAACCTCAATACCGCTCACACCGTAAACACCTATGGCTAAAGTCCTCACACAATACGTATAGCTCATTACTTCGATACGCCACTGGTAGCCCCTCCCCCTCGCCCGCCTATCCTTGGTCTTAATGAACACAACAAGCATAGAAAAGACGAAAACAGTCCTCTGTTCTTTTTATTTTTTGTCAATAATTTTATAACACTTAAAATATTATTATAATTATTAATATTATTATTTATATCATCATCATCATCTGATTTGAGTAGACATTTTTCATAGAAAAACAAAAGAAAATTCAACATAATACCCGCCAACACACATACACACACAGAAACAAACGAACAGACAAACACTACCACAAAAGTCTGCAGCAGAGTAAGTAGAAGTCACAAAAAATACCAAACAGCCAAAAGACAAAACAAGGCAGTTTTGACCCCGCCAAAAACGAGTTGACCAAAAGGAGAAAAAAAATAATAAATCTTATGCAGGAGAGATAATTATAAATGAATTTTAAAAAAGAATACAAGTCAGTCGGTCGGTCGGTCAGTCAACCAATCAATCAATAATAATTTCATCATGGTCAATTTTTTGTTTTTATCAGTCGTCGTCGTCGGCTGAGGCGGCCATGGGGCAACATTACCATCACCATTAATCGTATTTTAAAAAGTCAGTCAATGAATAAATGAAGGTCGTGGTGGTGCTCCACCTTCAAAATTGCCAGTCACACCAGTAGCACCTTCATTGTGTCCGTCCAGCTGCTGATGTGATCATGACAAGATCAGATGAAATCAAATCAAAGGAAATAAATAAATAAATGGGTAAATTTGAAACCCATTAGAGAGACAGGCAGACAGAAGGAAAGACGCGTCACCCTATCATCGTACACAAATACACCAATTAAAATAAATAAATAAATATTAATGTATATATATTATAGATATTATCTTGTTCAATTTTATTTGTCTGGTAAAGGAGAGGTGGAGAGGATGAGAGGAGTAGGGATCATCAAAGAGGCGACAGTCTCCAACACGCACACACACACAAGGAGAGTGGGATTAAACAAAACAATGAAAACGAGAATAAAGACACTAGGGAGATTTCAAAAAGTAACGAGGAATATCACAATGATATACTCTTCTGTACTTGTATGTCAACAAGAAACAAAAACCCAAAAAAATCGATAAGTAGAGGGGATAAAAATGAGGTGTGTGACACAGCAGGGATGAAAGCATGGAAATTGTTTATTATTCCTAATATTACCGTCATTATTACATAATATTACAATACAGTGAGAGTAGTAGAAGCAGTGGTATGTGAGTAGGCATAACAAAGAAACCAGCTAACCACAAAAACAAGTCTGTCTACACACATTGCTTCTTCAAATCATAACAAATCACCTTTCAGACGAAGACAGATAGGAGGTGAAAAAATAGTTTTTTCTTAAAAAAATAAACAATTACATAATCATGATCGTCATGCTCAAGAACACTTACATACATACATACAGTGACACACCCCTTCGACAAGAAAAGGGCGCCAATGATCAAAGAATAAAAAGTCTTAAAAAAAGATGGATAAAGAAAGTCATTTATCATAGACAAAAATCAATAGAAATGGAGGGATTGTTGCTGTGTGTTGTTGTTGTTGATATGCTTGAAGTCAATCAAGGTCAAAATAAAAAATAAACAAACAAACACTGAAGGTTAGGGGTGGTGGGAGGGGGGTTTGTCGGGGTGGATGGATAGGGGGAATAAAAGAAGTCAGACAAAAAAATAAATATTATATTATTATTAAGGATTTTTATTTTATCGTGGAAGGCATTCTGCACTGTGAAAATAATCGCCTTCCTGTAATGTCTGTCTTCTTTGCGTGGGAGTTGGGTGCGTATGTGTGTGTGTGCGCGTGATATGCACACACACACGCACGTATCATAGTCTCAGTTGTTTGGTGGTCACTGGGATAATTTCTTCTGTATATAGATGCGTACATGCGTGCGTGCGTGGGCGTATTTCAAAATTAAACGCCTACGCGTACAGACATACACGCACACGCATACATGCATACATACAAACAAATAGAGAGAAATATAAACGTCATATAGATAGATGTTAACTATTGTATACCATTTGTATAATATTGAAAACTATCATATAATTTTGTTGTAAATGAATTCAATGAACTTTGTACCAATTGATCAACTAATTGTTTTAATTGTTCTTCTGTACGTGATAATTGAAATCTTTGTCGTAAATCTGATATTGTACGATTACCATTACCACGAGCAAAACATGGTAATTGTTGACATGTAGCACGTGCTATCTCGACAAGTACACATATCTACAGAAAAAGAAGAATAGGGCGAAGGACAGATAAATATTAAGCCATTTTAATAAAAATTTTAGAAAAATGATATTGCTTTGCATCCCTGACACAGCTGTAGAATGCTCGTCAACCACGTCTCATGTGGTTCTGGGTTCGATTCTCGGTCGACGCGTTCCTTTACTTCGCTAAGCCAGTAATAAGGCTGGTAAAGAGGGAAGGCTGGGGGGGGCGGCGTGAGGCTGACTGCCAATCCCATCCTGTAAAAATAAATACCACTGCTACCGAAACTTCAAGCCTTTAGCTTGAAGCCCTCCCCTATGTTCCGCTGGGAACGTAAAGGAATAAAAACAATGTTAAAAAATGGTATTGCTTATATAATTTACCTTTCCCACTGATTGATTTCAATGAAAAAATGGAAAGCTGACGAGGCTCAAATGGGACGAAGCGTGCGTCATGAATTCTACTACCAATCTCCATCAACCCACAAAAACTGTTTGCAGTATACAATGCTCTTCTCACGGAAGACGGAATCTGATAAGTTTTCTGATTAGATTCACTAAGGAGCAACGGTGACAGCATAGAATTCGAAATACTACATATTTCAAAGTATCCTAAATGATTATGTATTTGATAACATAGAATTTAACGCTGTAAAACAGAACTGATTTAGAATGACAAGTGGAACAAGTGAAATAATACTGAGGACAGTCCGAAATGATTATAATAATAATAATAGTAACAATTGACGTAATAAAGGAAGAGTATACGAATTGAATAGACAAAATGAAAAAAAAATTGGTAGAGCCAAAATACGATTAGGGATTACCCATACTTTAGCATAGAGGGATTAAGACCATGAAAGACGGAAAATATTCCGTCTTACCTTCTACATCAAGAAGTTAAGACATTCTGGTATAACCCAACCCTTACTCCTAAGATTCGTTAACTCTTGCGTTCTGCCTATTAGTCTCTATTGTTCCCCCTTAGTTTTTCCAGGGCTACTGAAGAAAGACTATACCTTATTACGCAGGATGTTAAAGGTTGTCAGCAGGGTAAGCAACGTGCCACTTAACCAGCTTGTCAATATTCTGGTCGACAGGCACATGGACTCATGTGAAAAATGGGCCAAATCCATTTTATCTAACTCACATCACCCTCTTCATTCACAACTCTCCCCTTGCATCTCATCAGGCAAAACCAGAAGCCTATATAGGAAACTATATGCTCGCACCAGCAAGTACAAAAACTCAACCATACCCTACTTAGCTCGTGTTCTGTGCGATAAAGAAAGCATTAGGCGCGATACCTATAACTTATTAAATAGTCAGTAGAACAACTGGACCACATCTTTCCAACTCATATCATTTTATAGGTACAACATTTTCTTTCTTTCTTTTCCTTTTCTCTCTCCTTTTGTTCCGTTATGTGCTGCTTTGTTTCTTTCTTCCGCTTACTCCAGTAAATATGACAGCAAGTACTTTTCGAACACCTTCAAACACTGTTCAACTTGGGCTTTGCTATCGACATGTCAATATGTTGTTGTCATAATGAACTGAGATTTCCTTAATCTATGTAGAATTCTATTTATTGATAATGTACTAACTGGATGCAATACTGTAGTAAAGATGCTGAGAATTCCATTCTGTATCACAAGTACTGTTTTGGAATAAAGCAGATTATTATTAGTATTATTTAAAAAAAATTGGAGGGGTTGGACGAACTGATCTTGAGTAGTACTGAGCAAAGACAGCTGTGTCAATATATACGTAGATATACTGTGTCTTCTGGAAAGACACAACTATATGAACGACTAATTATATAATGAAAACAATAAGAAAAATCAATAAGACAGATCAATTACATGCAAAGTAAAAAAAAACAAACAAAACAAGCAAACACTCACCTGTTCCATATGTTTACGTGCAGCTAATAATCCACGTAGCAGAAGTAATTTAAAATATTCAAATAAATCACTTCCAATACCACCCATAACATTGACTTGTTCTAGTGTTAATTTAAATGGACTAGTTTCAAAGCCTAAATTTTTTCCAGGTGATGAAGATAATATAAAGCCATAATCAATATGTATAACATGACCTTCATTGTCTAGCAGAATATTACCATTATGTCTAAATAAATCAATAATAAAAAACAAAAAAGAAATCAATAGAGATAGAGTGGAAAAAACGGGGGAGAAGGGGAATTTAAATACATACATCATATTGTATATATATAACAATATTCATTTAATAAAAAATAGAATACGAATCCATTAAAAGTTCCCTTTACTTCATGTGCAACTGTAGTGGTGAGTATCTTCGACTGTCACGTGGAAGGCCCCGGTTCGATTCCCCCTTGAAGAAGGAGCCAGTGCATTGGTGGCAGAGCGGTTAGGAAGCTCGCCGGGGTTCGACCCCCGGCCACCGACGCACTCCTTTACCTCGCTGAGCCAGAAATAAGGCTGGTAAAGAGAAGAGGTTGGGGGGGAGCATGAGGCAGGCTCACAACCCTATCCTGTAGAAATAACCACCGCTGCCACAGAAACTTCAAGCCTCTAGCTTGAAGCCGTATGTTCGACTGGGAAAAAAAGCGTGCAACAAGACGACCACCTCTGACGGAACCTTTAAGATGATGAATCCATAGAAAACTCACTTGTAATGGACAACTAACAAGTTTTCTCGAGTGGGTATCTACCTATTGAGCGGTAACGAAGTTTGATTATATCCCTCACCACTCGGGTCCGATGCATCTGCAGTTCTGATGCTCTGGAAGCTGAACATGATCTTCTGAAAGAAACCTTCATCCAAAATAGGTATCCGCTAAGATTCATCGACAAGAATATCAAACCAAAGGTTGAGAGGAACGAAACAACATCACTTGTTTCAAATAAGAAACTTCAAGGGAGGCAATATCCAGTATCTTTGAAAAAAACATTGTTTGCAGTATTGCTAAAAGTAGTGTTCTTCAGTCGTCTGTTGATCTACAGATGCCTTAAGGACAAGATCTCGCATCTGGCCACTTCTATGTGCATATATCAGTTCATCACCTGTTGCTGTGGAGCCAGCCAGATAGTACATTGGTCTTTCAATGCGAATCCTACCCAAAAGGGTTCAAGAACACTATCCCGCATGGCTGCGAAAAGGTAGTAGTGGTTATATAAAAGGAGTACGATAATCGAAAATCTCGTCAACACTGGTCATTCCATCTCAACAAACGCCTCCTCCTTCAAAGTAATCTACAAAGTGAGGAATATCCTGCCAAGGGCAATACGCTTTCGTCTCCTTTGCTGCATTACTGAAGCCTTAGTCATTCAGTTGAAAAAACCAGAGTTACATACGTGTACAAAAGAAAATCATCCAACTACTTCCACTGTCATGGTAACAACCGTGTTGATTTATGTTGACATGATTTTGATGCGCTTTTTTTCCTTACTCTTTATAACATTTTTAATTCCTAGAGCTCTTACATAACTTCATATTTTCCTTTGTTTCCATATGCATCCTAATGACAGCTCACTCACTAAACTATTCATCCTATTACGTAACTGTATTACGCTTATTCAATTTCTCTTATGTGTTGATTTTTTCCTTCACGTTCCCCAGTGGAACATAGGGCTTCAAGCTAGAGCCAGCTTGAAGTTTCTGTAGCAGTGTTTATTTTTACAGGATGGGGTTGCTAGCCTCATGCCCCACCTTTCCTCTTCACCAGCATTACTTCTGGCTTAGCGAGGTACAGGAGTGCGTCTGCCGGGGATCGAGCCCCGGGCCATGTGCATGATCGGCGAGCGTCCTAACCGCTATGCCACCGACGCACATTATGTGTTGATGACTAACATTAATAACTATGTTTTTGGACAACGCATCACCACTACCCTCTTACCAATTCTCACCTTCACCCACCCCAGTTACAATTTGATTATTCAACACATTTTAGAAATGTCTTGTGACGACAATAATCCTAATTTATTTTTATTCTTATCGGACAAACCTAATGTACACACACATACAAAAGTAGGCACATATAATTGCGATTGTACAGCTAAGTGTGAATGAATTCGCCAGTCAAAAGAGGCTCTTCGCTGAACTACACGTGTTTTCTTTTCATTAATATATGAATTATGTAAGAAGACAGACAGTAAGACTCTAGAACATCTCGAATTTATTGATGACTCGAAGATCTACAGCTGGATACGAATACGTAAGATTTAAAGTGGACATTAGAGAAGACAAAGGTGATGAAGATGCCCGACGGCCACCACCACCACCACCAACAGCAACAAACACGAATCACTAATAACAGGAGAAATTTGAACGAGACCACATTTGTTTTAACTACAGGCAGTTAGGATCTGGAGAAGCAAGGCAGACCTTCATCAATCTGAAATCCGTTTGGAAATCTGTCAGACTCCGGCATAAAGAGCAAGATTCGAATTTTCAACACTAAGTGTCAAGTTAGCCAGTGGTTTTAAATGATTTAGAGACTCCGAGAAGACGTCAGCGAAAGCAATTTCAAACAGATTGGTGTATAGGCTTTTATCAGAAGCTGCCTTCGCGGACTTTGAACTGAAGATTAGATAGTCGGCTGGAAAAGATTAGTAACAAGGATCTCTGTTAGGGGCAAAGAACTAAACAAGAACCTACTGTCAGACATATATGCAGAAGCCAATGGAGATAGATTGGATACGTACTGAGGAAACCGATGAGTGACGTGTCACGACGCGTCAGGCAGACTCTCAAGTGGATGCCCAATGGGAAGCAACAGTTTACATATAGTTCCGAGGGTAACTTTGATTGATTCTTCTTTAGGTACCTGAAACAGAAAGACAGTTAGTGTTGCGTGATCGCAGACCCTAGGGGAAAACTGCTTGATACCGACCGGTCACACACGGCCTGTATGAACTGGTTTCCTGGATTGGTTCCCTACTAGTAAACTTACCGCCGGTTACGGACAATAGTAGGGTAAGTCGGGATGTATAAAGTTTGGGGTCGGCCTTTTCTAACCCCCTCTTTCCAGAGACAACATAGCTGGCTGGCACGCAGTTCATCCGAGAGAAACACCTGACTGCTGTTATATCCCGGTTCCCCAGTAGCACGAATTCGCCCACAGACCCCCAGCATAGTGTAAAAAAAATTCTTACACTATACCAGTAACTGCTTTTAGTCCAATCTTTATCCTAACAACCTTCCTAGCATGGTAGGACCTGAAGGAACAATAATTCCTGGCAGTGTAGCTTGTCGGGTCATAGCGATATGCAAGCTCAACCATCACATCAAGGTAGCAGCTATCAGTCGGGCCGAGGGTGACATGGAAGAGATTATGTGGGCAGAAAATGAGAACTTATTAGCAATTGTGGAGAAAACTTTTAATAAAAAAACCCGAAAAGAACAGAGTGAAATGGAGATATGTTGCTGAAACCTTGTGGTCTAATCGGAACATAATAAATGGAGACAGATTTGCAGGATGCGTGTATGTGTGTGTCTCTATGTATTGATGACTTTGATGGCAGTATCGATCTTTTTACTAGGAGGTATTATTTTAATCATCCCAAAAAGACACCATTTATCTGCAATTGTTGGTTTACGGAGAATTAACTGATTTGAAAATTGATTACGAAGTGATTTCAGTCGGAGAACTGTTGAGAACCACCAGCAGGGAGTACTGGACAGTTGTTGCGTACCAGTTTAGGACTCTTCGGCAGCAGTAGATACTCGTCACCTCAACAGGGATCGAAGTCAGAACCCTCAGGCAGGGCAAACTTATACGCCATTCAACCACTTGGGTAGGAAGCCTAATCAAGGACGAAATTAACTGTCCCTACACACTCCTCAGTTTTCAACAGTGCTCTAACTGGAGTCAATCCATGAAACAATCTTGAAATCAATCGAATTGCTGCAAGCCAACATCTGAAATTTAATCTAGGGCTCACACTAGCGACTCAGTATAGGATGAAATTGCCTGAATTTCTAGAAGGAAGTCGTGACCAGCGGAGTCCACCAATTTGGATGTGAGGACAAATACACGTTGATGACATTGTCTGGTAATCGTGATATGAATCACGAATTGATATAAGTTAGAATTGAGGGACCGTTGCAATCCGTCCCAGTAGCTGGATGTCCTAAAGGCTCACCTGGTGAGCTCATGGATGCGTAGCCTTGAGGAGTTCCAAACTGGTACGAAACAGCTGTTCAGTACTTTCTGGTTCCTGACAGTTCTCTGACTGAAGTCAATTGGTGATCAATCTTGAAATCATTTATTTGGTTGATTAATAGTTAACAATGGAACTAGGCCACGCGTTTCGTCCCATTCAGGATTCCTCAGACTGCTGTACTAGTGGCCGATGATGAGGACATAACCCAGTGTCTATCGTTTGAGACGCAGAAGTGTAACCCATGAGAGCCAGATTTTTTTACGACGGATGTATCAGTTGACATTTATCAAAAATATTATTTTAAATTTCCCGCTGACTGATTCTGACTGGGCTGAAAAGCTTGGTCAGTGTTGACACGTCCTGTATGTGTGTGTATGTGCTCTGCATTAGCTTAGAAAGGACTTTAGGTATATTGAAAGGCATCTGCATCGGTGTTCGTCCGCAACAGCAAGAAAAACTTTAAACGTCCGTGTATTATGCGAGTACAGCTGTTCGGATGAGATCTCTAATATTAATATTGAAAGCCAAGACGACAAAAGAGCTCATTTTACCCACTTTTGGCGTCTTTCCAGTGGAAAAAAGACCCAATTCAGGTTTCTATGCAGTAAAATGTACTTCAAATTTACTCCAAAGTACTATGTACAGTTGAAAAATACATGGAATTACCGTCAGAATCTACATCTCATGTATGAGAGGCGAATCTTACGACCTGGGGTTTCCAAACGACACGAAAATCAGTGAACCACTGGATGAAAGTTCAATACTTGAATAAATCAGCCTCAGTCAGTTTCACCTACCAATCAATACAAAAATTGAGACCAAATGGCCAGTTGTGACTACTATAATTCAGTAATCAAGTTGATTAGTTGGAGGATTTCATCATTAGCTGAGATCAGTTACAGCAGTATTAGAAAACCAGCAAGGAGTACTGGACAACTGTTTCGTCAGCCTGGTTTGGGACTCTTCAGCAGTAGCGTTTCTCTAGCGGATGTCAGCTCATGATGAAATCTTTCAACTAATCAAACAATAATCCCTGCAAAAGCCAATACTTGAAAATTACATCAATTTGACTAAATTAGGCATCTATGAAGTTTACTGGACACCATGATCGTTTAGCATCTTCAGAATTGTGTGGCCTTATCACTGAGGCAGTTAACCTAAGCCCCATTTCGTATTCTTTGCATATTTTGAGCGGACTAGTGTGGTGAGAGCTGTCTGATAGCCAAAATTTTTAGACGACAATTTACGTCAATCTTTACGTCCCATATCTTGGTCATGAAAAGAAACAAGAGCACACCCTGACCTTGAGGAACTCAACAACCAATCAAAGCGGACTTTACGTGGGCGGATACAATTCACAGATATATGGTCTGACCTTCAAAGAAACGGCCACAAAGAGATGACAGAATAGCTTTCAGCGAGAAAACAACCAATCAGAAGACACTGTTTCTCTGCCTATAATAACGAATAATAATGTATATAAAAATCTATAAATATCTGTTGATTTTCTCAATAAACGATCCGTTGCCTGACTTTTGCCGACCAAGTTAAACTTTAATCACCACTAACTACCAATCAGTGAACGACGTTGAATTATTCAATGAGAATCACGAACGTAGTTCAATGTTGTATAGCGCTTGATTCATTTCAAATGCGTGCCCTTACAAGGTTACGTTTGCAGTTCAAGGAGGACAGCGTTTTCCAGTATTGCCTGGATATAGGGTTGCTCCGGAAGGAGCGAACTTGTTCGTGTGGTGATATCATGACTTTAAAAAAGCTACAGCAGGTCAACTGATGGATTTGTCCATCGCTGTGCTATATGCTTGAAGCGTGTTAGCATTAGAGAGGGTAGGCCGATGATTTTAATATTTCGTAGGAAATTTTTTTGCAAGGTCACACCTCTCGTTGACGCAAATTTTATATATCTGCAACTACTGGGTATTGAAGCAGCCGGTGAGAGCTACAGCTGCCGAGATGGAAAACAGCCTCGTCTCAACAGTGCAATGGTACCAGCATTGTAGAGATATTGCATCTTGGAAAATGGAGAAGATTACTTCGTTGTTGGGCAGGGACGACTTTGTGGTGCACGTGGATGAGACTGTGTTGGTGAAGAAATACAATCGTGGTTGCCAGCGAGCGAATAACATCTGGGTGATAGGTTTATACGATACTTCCCTCCGAAAGGGATTCATTGAAAGAATAGGAGATAGAAAGGCGACTACGTTAATACCTATTATAACGAGACTTGTCAAACGGGGGTCAATTATACACACGGACGAGTGGAAAGGTTATAATTCGCTGTCATCCTTGGGATATATTCATCACCGAGTGAACCATTCAAACGATTTTTTGGATCCAGTTACCGGGACTCATACAAATCCTATTGAAGGATTTTGGGGCCGGTTGAAAAATCGCATAAGGGCTAAAAATGGATCCCAAAAGGATGTCATTTATAGTCAATGAGATGAATATATGTATAGAATGTGGTGTGACTTTTCTATTGACAGTCCAATGCTGAATTGGGAGATGTTTGCATGCCATGTTCGTGAAAGATACCCGTTGTAACTGTTTTATCCCTTTTTTTGCATTTTTCTATAAATATACGTTTCCACTTATCATGAACGCCTCTTTCATGTGATTGGTCCGTTCAAGGTCGTTTGCTGATTGGTTGTTACTGGTGTCGAAAGTTTAACTTTGCCCTTTTGCCTTCTGTAGTTACACTAGCACCCGAACTCTCAACATTTGTCTAACAGCAATCACAATTACCAAAGACATTACACATCAGATGGGAATAGCATCCCAAAGGATTTTTAGAGCTGCTAACAGGGAAAATCAAGAGATACACACGTGAGAAGGAGAACACACACATATGAAAAAAGAAACTCACCTATCTTTCACTTGAAATAAATATCCTACTAAACAATATGCAGCTGTACTTTGTACAAAATTCTGTTGAGCTGTTAAAAATGCCTCTGAATTATCTGGACCATGTTCTCGATGCATATAGTCCAATAGGGATAAATGTGCATGTCGTTTAATCTGATGAAATGATACAGTGTCTGGAACTGGTTCAATAAATCCACTATCTGAAGATATTACAACTACAGTCAGAGGACGTAACCAAAGTGGGACATGTTCAATTTCCCAAATATTCTAGAAATGAAAAAAAGAGAGAAAAAATTAGATAAACAGGTAGAAACAATAAGCACAAAACAATTACAATCATAAATACAGAATTAAGAGGTGAGAAAATAGACTACTTAGGTCAAGTTAAAAGGACATATTGAAGGTCAAAATAACAATGAAGATCAATCACTAAACCAAATAACAGAGGTAATAGTACATCTACCCTGGCTGGTATCAAAACAAAGTTTACCGGGGAAGGTTTAGTGTGATGACGAATTGTTTTTGATGAACGCATAAAGGTGGTTTAAACTACCGAATTGAGAGCTACGGCTTCCACAAACTTTATGATACGCACTCCCCCAAACACCTTTTATAGATAGGTTTAAAAGATCTGTCTGAGAAGTCGTGACCAGTGAGGTCCAATTAGATGTCACGTGTGTGGATGGATGTCTCACCAACGACATTGGTTGGGGTCGCGTTAAATCACGAATGGGTAGAAGTTGGAATTCATGAGCCATTAAATCGGGTCCCAGTGGCTGAATGGTATACGAGCTTGCCTTGTAACCGGTAGGTCCTGGGTTCGAATCTCAGTGGGTGCTTACTGCCGATGATTCCCAAACTAGGATGAAACAGCAGCTGTCCAGTACTCCCTGTTAGTTTCCAATGGTTCTCTAACTGATATCAATCCGTGATCAACTCGTAAAAACATAACTAACCCCTACAAACTAAACTAAAGAAAACTATCAGATAGCAAATTTATCACTCAGCAATGCACTCTGTTCTGTTCAACGGATAAAACATCGCGGTTAAGGATGGATAACCTAAAGACACTATATATGTTTTTCTAATAGTCTATAAGCGAATACATTTCTGTGTAGTCTAATGTTGACCTTTCGGCTGGCCAAAATGAATGGCAAACAAAACAATTTTAATTCAACTGAATTTTAGATACTAATGAGTAGTATAAGTTGGAGAACAACATATATTTTTAGAAAGCTAGGAAATCATTATGTTTAAGTGTATATATAATTACAAGGAAACCCTGTATACTGCTTATTATTCTCTTCATATCCTTGGAAATAGTTGGACCAATAGCTGCTACCTTGACGTGGTGGTCAGGCCTACACATCGAAATGATTCAACGACTGACTGGAACTAATGTTCCTTAAGGTCCTACCATGTCGGAAAGGCAGTTTGGATAGCGTCTAGGCTCAAAGCAGTCAGCGTGACAGTGTAAATCATTTACACTATGTTGGGGTTCTAACAGGTGAAGTTGTGATTATTCATCACATTTTAGAAACATTTTGATGACGTAAACAGTAACCTTAACTAATTTTTATTTTATTTTTGTTTGACACTCCTAATGTACACACACACGCGCACACAGAATAATTATATATATAAATGCGATTGTACAGCTAGCTAAGTGAATGAATTCGCCGCAGAAAAGAAACACTTCGACGAACTTTGTTGTTCCTTTCAAGGTGGCTGGTTCCACTACTGTCCATAAGCTTTCATCTCATTGACACACAATTTCTTCCTTCATGCCACACACTTGAATCCATGACAAACTTGTTGTTTCCTATTGGGGGTGTGGGGGGGAGTTCAACCCAGGGTGCCTCGAGTGTAATTCCACTAAACAGTCTTCTTAGTGTATGTCCAATCCGTCTCCACTCCCTTAAGCATACATTTGTTAGGCGTTAGATTCTTCACTGATTTGTTGCAAAGCAAAAGTGGCTAGATGTTGATCACATTTCTGACCGCCTAATCTTCAGTAGCCAGCGAAGGCATAGGCTTTAAGCATTATACGTATTGGGCAAATAAATAGAGTAATAAAGATGACTCACTTTCAATACAGTCAATAGTTGATAAGCTAATTGTTCTTGTCTTAAATCATCGCCAACTTTTACAATAGCACTAGTTAAACTCCATCCCGGTAGACTACCCCATGGTGATGTTGCACGGATACGTTCACATTTCATATGCCATGGTTCTTTTAGCACTGCAGCGCTTGGATCTTCAGGATCACACTATAGTGAATGAATGAGTGAATTAAAATAAATTATAATCTCTTATTACATAATATAAATAATTAATACGAAATATCTTAAAATAAACCTGTCACAAATGCAAAATGATGGCTACAGGACTGGACTACACCGACTGCCAGTTCGAAGATAGAGGGGAAGGAAGCGGTGGAGTGTGTTGACGACTTTACTTATTTCGGAAATCACAAAAGGCTACGATGGATTGGTTCCAGACGACAGCTCAGCACGGATATCCATGAGACTTGTGTGACATTTACCAATTCGCGTCATCTCTAGAGTAGACGTGATATCCAGGCATCGATGGAAGGATGGGCGTATTGCGCGAGAGTTGGCTCTATCTTTCTTTAGAACTGTGAACCATGGCCTTTGAAGGCAGAAGATGTGAAAAAACCAACTGTCTTTAACCATTTCTTTATTCCTTTACGTTCCAAGTGGAACATAGGGCTTCAAGCTTATTGGACTTTGAAGTTTCGATAGTAGTGGTGTTTATTTTCACGGGATGGGGTTGCTAGCCTGCCTCATGCCCCCCAACCTCCTCTCTTAACCAGTCTTATTACTGGCTTAGCGAGGTAAAGGAGTGCATCGGTGGCCGGAGATTGAACCCCGGACGAGATGCGTGGTCGGCGAGCATTATACCTCTGTGCCACCGACGCACGTCTTTGACCATAATGCTTGCATTCTATGTCCCATGTTAACTGATGTAATACGTTGAGTAATATTAAGATTAGGAGTAGAGTGTTCCATGAGTAAAGTAAATCAATCGATAAGGTTGTGAAGCTAGGACATGCTACGTATGCCAAGCTGCTACCTTCTTCGACAAGCAATATTAAATGACATGGGATTACGTTGAAAAAGGGTTAAGGTTGATGAAACCATGAGAGTTGGTTCGACACACTATTTTGATTGGACACTAGTGTCTAGTCCTTTGTTTGGTGCAGACTGAATTCTATCAGTCACGTTTGCAATGTTGCCACCATGTCACTTGGTAGCTCGCCATCACAGTGCACATTGATTTGATGGTATTAGATGGTTGGAGGCAATCGGCTATAGGAAGCCTTGGACATAGGTTTCGTATTTGTTGGCACTCGTCAGCAAGGCGTATCTGCAACTGCCTTCAAGGAACTCACGTCCCTTCTGAGGTTAGGACCTGCGCACCAAAGAAAGGACTAGGCACATCACACTACTTACTAGTGTCGAATCGAAGTATCCACTACAGTCCTACAGGAGGTCAATCACGAGACCGAATAGCTCCTCAGTGGTTACGTCTCTGACGCGGGTTCGAACCTCAGAAGGGACACATGAATTCCTTCAAGGCAGTTGCAGATACGCCTTGCTGACTGACTGGTGAGTGCCAGCTAGCACGAAACCTAGGTCCAAGACTTCCTGTGGCCGATTGCCTTCAACCATGTAATATCATCAAATTGATTCCTTCTTGATCCCTACTTTGTGATACCATCTAACATTGGAAGCTCCCTTTCATGACTTTCCAACTCCTAAGTAAATTGAATTATTATCTCTACCATTTGAGTTGATGCTTTCGAAACACCTATTTATAGCTTGTATTTCTAGTACTGTGAATGTGTCATCTACATACCTACCTCCGCCATATTTTGGGGGAGTGGATGACTGAACGTTCCACTGGCTAAGTTCTCTCACCTATCCATAAAGATAACACAGAATATCAGGGAAATGGGTGAACTCATACTCAAGGCACCCACTAGCGTTTAACTTCTCATCTTGTTTCCTCCTTTTTTATTTATGAATATGAACAATATCACCACTAGTGAACCTTCGCTATAAAGTTACATAGATTGAGATGGCTAGGTCACGTGCTGCGCATGCCTAACCATCGCCTCCCCCTACCGGCGGGCATTACTAGCTGATATAGGTGCAGGTTGGAAAAGAGTAAGCGGTGGCCAAACAAAAACATGGCCTCATCAATCCATGAAATCCTTGACAGTTAAACTGAGTCAGGTAGGGAGATGCAGACTTCCAGGTTGGGGCCCGCCCTCGGGACTCCAAGAATCAATGACTGGAGACAATAGGTGACATGGCTCAAAATCGTTGTCAGTGGCGCAGATGTATTCAGTCTCTTTAACCTTTCATATTCCTTTCTACCATTACTCATTCTGTTTCACTCTTATACTTGTCAAAACTCTTTTGATTCTTTTCTCTCATTTTCTTGTCTACCTTTGTGTGCTCTTTGGAACGTGGCAACTCGAACTGCTGCACTTCGGTGCCAAGTTCTATGTTGAATCCAGTCAGCCAGCAGTGAACCTTCAAATCTTGAGGTTGTAATGCTCCTCCACTTGGAAAGCAGATAATGAGAAAAAACAAAACGAACAAACAAAAACATGCTACACTTACTCTGAATGATCTATGCGGTTGCAGTTCACATTGTTCTTTCAGCCGGTTACGTATTTCTCCCGCGCCAATATATACAGGTGATTTCGATTGCATAGAATAATCATTATTCACTGTACCAGAATCTGTACCAAGCAAGGATCCCTCACGATGCTGCTCATTATCATCAGACGACATAGGCTCAGATGTAGCACTACCATTACCATTACCATTCAGCTGATATTTTTTCGACGACAAATGACTGTGATTGGCGCGTTCATCATCATCATCACCATCATCAGCAGATAAATAACGCATAAGTTCCAGTGGATTGATTTCTTCAGCTAGTGAAACATTCGATACTGAAGAGGATCGAAGACTTAATTCATCTGAGGCTGAATTGATACCACCAGCACCACAAGCAGCAGCTCCAATGGCACCACCACTGACAGCAACAGAATCACCACCTCCAACAACTTCATTGTTATCTGTGACTTCTGATGAAGAACTCTTGAAGTAAAAGAAACAGAAGAAATACATAAGAAGGATGAACAATTGAAGGAGAAACCAAAACTGACCAATAGTTAGAATTGTAATAAGTGTTCAGGATGACAATTATCTACCTTTTTACCACTGATGTCAAGCTAGTCAGTGCTACTTATAATCAGATATAAGTAGTATATCAGTAAACAAATTCAGAAAAGTTAAAAAAAAAATGTTTTGGGCACTGGAAAAAGTAATTGAAGCAGAGAACTTCTAGAAGAACGTTACAAATACTGTGCAGAATCCAACAGGCTATCGAATGTGGAGATACTTGACCCATTTTCATATGATATGCAAATAAAGTATTGAAGATTTGGTATACCAAATTACATTTATGTACCTAAAGTGCGTTTGTCCTAACAAAGACTGAATTCCAGCCTGATGGGTCTTCTCTTCTTTACACTTCTATACCATTCACATAGACTTACGGCGTTAACAAGAACAAAGTTTAACAGCCAGCTAGCTGTTGACTTTTACTACGCTCACCACAATGAAGATCAGTGGGTTGGCAGAAAAACATTAACAACTAGGAGTTCCGGTAGGCGACAAATCAGCCAAAAACCACCCTATTATCTAACAAATATGCAAACAATTTTGTTGAAAGTAAAGGGGAAAGGAATTTTCAACTTTGCATTCATGCATTCCTTTTCAATTAGCAGTTCCTCATCATCCTCTGGCTCTACACTAATATAGAGTTTTTTTTTTTAAAATTCAAATTCCGTTCATACCAATCAAGTGATTGCTTTAGTTAATCAGTTTTAGGTAGACGAAGGCGGGAGTGAAATTAAGAAGTTAAAGGTTATCAAAACAATTAACTAATAAATGTTAGTAACATGGTACCTAAGTTTTGAAGGGGAGATGAAAATCCATATTAGTTTGTTTATTAGGTATATCACACAGTGAAACAGTATTATTTACTGGATGACGTTTCGAATAAAATTTATTGCGGTTCATAATCATATCAATTGTGATCACACGAATTCGACACGTCGAAACGTCATCCAGTAAATAATACTGTTTCACTGTGTGATACATCTAATAAACAAACCAATATGGAATTATTTACTACCAAAGTTTTACACATATATGAATGGAGATGAAGATCAATTAATTACGGAATTCAAGATAAGTTAATTCTTAGGCGTTAGCAAGAAGTTTGAACATCATCGAGAAATTTGTAAAATAGCAATGATTACTCAGAAGAATTACATAACATACGAGCTAATAGAATTAGCTAGAATTGTAAAAATCGTTTTTAAAAACTTAATATATAATATGTTGTTGGCCATGGCAAAGAAAGGGGCTGTACAAATATCGTTTGAACACACAAACTTGGTTTGCTCAGATAAATTCCGATCGCCTCTGCTGTATGTAAAAGTCGTACTCGTAGACCATACGGCGAGAGGTTGGATGATATACGATAGATAACTCTAAAGCTTTGTTAGAGTCGATTTGATGTCCAGCTAGTATCGATCAGATGGGCTAGTATTGAGCTGCGTATAGTAGCTTTATTCGGACCTTTGCCAAACCAAGATGGGAGGATATGTTCACAAATTCGACAATGAACTTGCTTGACTGTACGCCCTAGTAAGTGGCTCCGCAAGAGCAGTTAAACTGGTAAATACACATAGAAGAGGTGAAACAGGGTAGTATGTTTTTATTTCTTGAATTAAGTATCAGTCGGCTAGTGAATACACAGCATAACCTGACTGAATTGAAAGTCTCTTTTGAAGGCGCTTCTCAGACGTTTTGATAAGATCGCACTATTGACATCACCCATGAATTGTAATCTTAGGAAGACTGACTTTTTGGGAACTTATGGCTAACGCCTAAGAATCAACTTATCTTGAATACCGTAATTAATTGAGTTTCACCCCTCCTTCGAAACTCAGCTATCTTGTTACTAACATCTCTTAGTTAATTGATGTTGTGATGACCTTTAACCTCTTAATTTCATGCCCCCCCCTTATACATAAAACTGACCACTTGATTGGTAAAAAAAGAATTTGATGTAAAAACTATATATTAGTGTAGAGCCAGTGAGTGATGAGGAACTGCTAATTGAAAAGGAAATGAATTTTGACAAGATTTTGTCATTACATCTGTCATAGTTAACGTTAATCAATGATTCCTTAAGATTAGTTCACCGTGTCAAATGGTATTAATACTGTCAATTTAGTCAATAAATGCTTTTGCTTTATGTTGATTGACAGCTCTAATTGTTTGAAAATGAAAATGACATAATCAGAAGATAAATGTGAATTCGTAGGACTGATCGGTGAAAAGCCGATGAGGGTTTAAAATTAAATGTATCAAGTGAAAGTATAAAGTACAGGTCTCTGTTCGCTAGTCCTGGGAAGGGATGGAGAAGGCGGAGAGGTGGTCAGTCCATGACGTGGCGTCGTGGGATGAAGGGTATTTGTGCTAGGTTAGCATCGGTTGGTGCGTCACGACTCCCTGGTTGGAGTCCGAGAGATAGCTTGCAACGTTATCGGATATGTCCAAGAATCGTAATCAATGGCGAACGTGTTGCAATTACCTTCTTTCTTCCCTTCCCGATGATAGTTAACGAATGCTGTTTACACTTGCTAAGTGTGACTGTTTTCCTTCCAGATGAAGTTCTTTATCCGTTCTCTACTTATATTTTTACTTTTAATCTATGTTGTTTTATTATTATTGTGTGGCGCATCTTCTTGGGGCCATATGGTACCAAGTTTTTTGTGTTTAAATAAATAAATATGTATAAAGAAAATGAGACAAATTGGACATATGCTGAAGAAACACAAGTCAGATTCTCTAGTTGAATCCGAATGCAAAGAGACGGGTTAGCCGTTCAAAGGTAACACGCAAGATATCGTGTGAAGAGGAACTTGTGGACAGTTAGTTATAGAGAGGGTTGGAAGTGTTGCGAGAGGACGAGTTGGAATGTAGATGTGTCGCTGAGGCAGAGAATGACTACCACTAATAATAGTAACAATATATATATGAACTAGAGATATCAACGCCTTTAAATGAAGCGCTAAGAGAACCAATGTTGAATACGAATGCTAATGCATCAGTATCAACACAGTTACTTCGAAATATTAGGTTCCCAAATATACGTGAATTCAATTCAGATGTAACTTAGAACTGAGATGCCAAGTTATCTTATAGGCGAAATTCTTGACAGTGTCCTATAAGAACTACGGCGTGAGTGAGTGAGTAAGTGAAGGTCATTTCAAGTATTAAATCAACAATTAACACATCAGTGGTGTTTGTACTTTAAAAAAAATTATTTCCTTTACCTTCCAAATGGAACAAGTGGCCTACAAGCCTTGCGCTATAAAGTTTCGGGAGCAGTGTTGTTTTTTACGGAGTGAGGTTGCTAGCTTCACGTCCAATCTTTCATCTTTATGAGGATTACTACCAGCTAGACGAGGTGTAGGAGTTAGTCAGTCCGGAATCGTATCACGGATAACGTGTGCGGTTGCAAAGTGTTCTCTGCCAAAGAAAGACCGACATTACTTGTACGAAATCTTCAAGCAGTGTAAAACGTAACATTTTCTGTATAAGTTATGAACAGCGAAGTGAGCGGAAAAGAGATAAAGTGGAAAAATTAGTTTCATACAGCCGGTTCTCTTTATTAGTTTGAATAAGGAAACAACGAACATATATTTGCAGACAGGATAATACGAGAGCTCGTTTTACTCCGTGAATTATCTCTCTCTTCAACTGAGTCGTACATCCTAAATAAATGGTGTCTGAACATACTTTTTACTACAATGATTTCAAGTTATAGACAGAAAGTACAGGGGCAACATAATTTCAAAGATGATGTCAGTAGGTAGACAATTATTTAGTGTGTTAAAAGAGTAACTATTTAAATGAGTAATTAGACAAGTGAGAGGGGTTGGAATTCAGATTTCTCTTGGAAACAAGGATGGACTAGAGAGTTGATTGATAAATATTATGGTAGAGAGTTCAGGAGAGTGGGGGTGAATAGTTTAGTGAAATCACAAAATAGGTAAAGTGATTTAATTAGGTAGATTTGGAACCTAATTAGTGAGTACAACTCAGTCAGTGAGTGAGTGAAAATCCAAATCAAGATTGAGTGGAATGTTATGTATGCAACAGAACAAAGCACACAATTCACCTGCACTTGCAACAGGAAGTACATAAGAACACGACTGAGAGGAGAGCGTCTACTAGATTCTACAACGATATCCCTAAGAGTCTCCGTTTAAAAGGCAGCAATTAGAAGACATACAGTGGAAATTAGTACAGGCTTTCAAAATAATCAATCAGTACACAAAGAAAAGCATGGTTACTTCGGTTCGTAGAAGCCGTTGCCATCAAAAGACTTCAACCCAATCTGTGCATACAGAAACAGAGTGTGACTAATCTCTCACTACCCCAACTGTTAACCATGATTGTTTTGTTCGTGTGCTTTTGTGTTTTGTTCTGTTGCATACATAACATTCCACTCAATCTTGATTTGGATTTTCACTCACTCACTGACTGAGTTGTACTCACTAATTACGTTCCAAATCTACTTAATTAAATCATTTTATAATTTCACTTTACTATTCACCCCCCACCCTCTTTAACTCTCCACCATAATATGTATCAATTAACTCTGTTGTTCCATCTTCTATTTGTCTCTAGTCCATCCTTGTTTCTAAGAGAAATATGAATTCCACACACACACATCCCACTTTTCTAATTACTATACAAATAGTTACTCTCTTTTAACACACTAAATAATTGTCTACCTACTGACATCATCTTTGAAATTCTGTTGCCCCTATACTTTCCATCTGTAACTTGAAATCGTTGTGATAGAAAGTATGTTCATACACCATTTTGTAACATGTAATTGATTTATTTAAGATGTACGACGCAGTTGAACAGAGAAATAATCGACGAAATAAAACGAGCTCTCGTATTATCCTGTCTGCAAATGTATTTATTATTTCTTTATACAGAAA